GTATCCCTATTTAAACAATTTGTTTTTCCCCTTCCCCTCCACAAATTATACCAACATTAAATGCAGTGAAAGCAGGGGTTATAATGTGGGGGAGGGACATACAAAGCAACAAAGAAATCATCTTATGAATATGTTAGAAAAAATAGCAAGAAAAAAAACATTGAGTCCTTATCTTGGGGTTCATTTCACCTAACATCAACTTATCTGACCGTTTGTGCTTGTCTCAGACATATACTAGTTACTGCAAATAAGGGAAACCATGGGACTTATGTTTCTTGGGGTCTGGCTTACTTCACAATATAATTTTTTCCAAGTCTTTCCATTCCTTAACAAATGGGGCAATGTCATTCCTTCTAATGGAGGCATAGAATCCCATTGTGTATATATACCACATTTTCTTGATCCATTCATCTACTGAGGGGCATCTGGGTTGGTTCCATATCTTAGCTCTGGTAAATAGTGCAGCAATAAATATAGTTGTGCTGGTAGCTTTAGTATGGTCTTGTTTGTGATCATTTGGGTAAATGCCCAAAAGTGGGATTGCTGGGTCATAGGGGAGCTCTATGTAGAGTCTTTTGAGGAACCTCCATACTACTTTCCAAAGTGGTTGAACAAGTTTACACTCCCAGCAACAATGCAGTAGGCTTCCCTTTTGTCCACATCCCCTCCATTATCTGTTGTTATTAGAGTTCTTGGTTATAGCCATTCTAACTGGGGTGAGTGGCATTTCAATGTTGTTTTGATTTACATTTCTTTTATGGCTAGGGATGTTGAGCATTTCTTCATGTATCTATTGGCCATCCTTCTTTCTTCTTCAGAGAAGTTTCTCTTTACGTCTTTAGCCCACTTATTTATTGAGCAGTTGTTTTTTAAAGATTTATTTATATTCATAATACAGCTCAAATTTCCTTTGGTCTTTCTTTGTAGAAAGATAGATTTTCTCTAATCTATTAATGTGATGTTCACATATCAGGCACTACAGAAAAAATACTTTTATATTTCTTTTTCTGAATATTTTATTATCTTTAAGTAGTTGTATAAAAGAGGTCTCTACATGTTAGTTAATATAAGTAGTTGTATAAAAGAGTTCTCTACATGTTAGTTGATATTATCCATCCTAATACAGAATTACTCAGTTTTACACAGTGATATATGTATGTGAGTCTTTTTCTCTTTCTCTCTTTTCTATTCTTGGGGGAAAGAAAGATGTGTCTGTGGAACCAAAAGATTTCACCTGGCTCTTAATAGTGGCTATCACCTTGAAATTTGGAGTCTGCAGTGTGTGAGCTGCTGTATCTTTAATCGTCAAGAAGGGCTATACTTCCTATGGTAGAGACCCCGGGAGTCCAAATTCCAGACTGGCACACTTCAGGGTGTATATTGGACATTTTATCTGCCTTAGGTTTCAGGGCACAAATTATTGTCCAATAATTAGGTCTTTATGCAAATTTGCATAGTTAACATAAGTAACAGGTTTTACTTAACTTCAGGAAAAATGATTTGTTTATTCTGTGAGTCTTGGAACTCAATGGTCTCAAAGATCATTACTTAATAACAAGGGGTTCTTATATCTAGGTGAGGATGTATGGGGGAAGGAAGGAGAAGTCAGTAGCAGAGTATTGCATATATGTGGTAAAGGCTGGATTCTCCCATGGGAAGTTAATGGGTTTGTTCTATACTTTTGTCTTAACTTATTTTCTCATGATTATTCATGGTCCAAAATTATGTGAAAACTAGACACAATGATTTTTCCATCTTCCCTTTGTTAGAGTATTATCACTTCAGAAAATAAACAAAAATTAAATGTGATTACTAAATAAATATACTGAGTTCGTAGGTTATTGCATGATACTACAATTATTACTTGTGTCATAATATTTATTAATCACTAATATTTATTCATTAATCTTTGTGAAGTTATCATTTCCTTAATACTTCGGATGTGTAAATCCAAGCCTCAAAACTTTAATGATTTCAGAATCCACATATACTCTTTGGAATACTCTAGGCAATAAGTTCATTTGTAATAAAAAGGTATTCTGATAAACATGGAAAGATTATACTGTGAAACAGGACAAATTATTTTAGTGGTGTGCTACAATGATGAATTATTATGAATAAATGATTATCATAAAAGATTAATTTTACTTCCGAATAAACTTTGAAACATTTTCAAATAATTAGGTCAGATCTTGTCAATGTATATTTAATATTTCAAATACAGCTATGTGGGAATTTTCAGAAGGAATAAAAATAGGTAATTAGCCTTACAGAGAATAACACAAAGGTCATGTGAGACAAGATTGAATTTCCAAAAAGTGAGGTGTTGTTTGAGCTGGACAATTGCCTGGAATATACTTGAGCCTAAGACTGGCTCAGATATGAGGAGAAGAGAAAGTAAAAATGTAATTTTAGAGAAACATATGGCAATGTCCCCTCAAATAAAAAAGATATAGAAAATAGGAGAAAGTTCAGGAATTAGCTTTTTGTTTTCTCAGAGAAGCTAAGAATACCCTGCTTTGCATCTGAGTTTTTACTTTTTATATAAAATTAGAACTTACATACTAGATATTAACACATTTGGAAATGTTTCTTTGTGATCCACTACTAGGTCTTATTTAAAAATTTTCTACTATCCACACCTAAAATAATGTAAAAATAGTGATAACTTTCTCCAGTAGTTGAAAAATGAGCAAAACTGGCTATATTTTATGAAAAATTATCTTTTAGATGCATCCTAAAAAATTGAACAAATAACTACCCTGTATTTATCTATTTTTGAATACAATTATTCCAGATTGGCATTCTATATTAATATACAATGAAAATCGTAAGGGCATCTCCAATTGTCCAAATTAAATAGATTGGGCTCAATATAATATTCACTTAGGCAGATATAATAGAGCAAGATTAACCAAATCCTGCCCTTGCTAGATTTACATTATGAGAAACATAACAACAAGTACATGTTATGCTAGATTTACTATTTTGAGTATCATGTATTAATTATAGTATCCCAAAAGGGAAATGAGAGACAAAACAATGGCAGGACTGTGGCAGAAGAGGTCTTTGTTAGAAAAGAGGTTCCAGATCATCACAGCTGAAAAAAAGTAAAAGGGTTAGAGAGGAGATTGTTTCAGGATAAAACATAGAATTGCAAGAGGAAATGAACAGAGGTGGAGGAAGGAAGGAAAGATGGCAGAAATAACAGGACAGGAGAATTTATGGCAGATTTTATGGCATGTGTGTCAGGTCAACAGTTGAACCGTACTTCAAAATTGCTTTGAAGCCATTGGAACCACTCCAAGCTAGGTAAGAAAGGCTTTCCTGCACTCACAATGGAAGGTGAGCTGTTACAATGATGTCGTGCTACTGCTTCCTGAGACTTACATTTGCCATGTACAGCCTATACTATTGATAGTGCATGCCTTATTGATTATTCTCAATTGTAATAATGCAAAATAGTAATAGTGGGCCTCATTTAATAATTAGCTGATCGATATATTTATCTTATTTATTTTAGGGCTGGGATCAAATCCTCAGTCATGGGCATGGTGGGAAACTTTTCCATCATTGAGCTACCACCTCTAGCGTCTAGACTTCATGTTACAGATTACAGGGTGAGGCTACTAATACTTTATTTTATATTCAGATTATAAAACTTGGATTAAAGATTACTCTCAAGAGATCAAATAAAATTAAGATGTGTGTTAAAGCTCTATATCCAAAGAGTCGAGCATTTCCTCCCTTTACCATGTAATAAGCAACTATTGTAACTCATTTAATATTCAATAATTAAAAAGACACTGAAGATTACCCATATTCTAAGCTCTTAAAAGGAAAAAGAAAATTTGAGATTCCTACCATGCTCTATGTATATGAATATTAAGTCTGTGTACTTGAACACAATATTTAAGATCAATTCTAATTAAAATTTAAACCCAGACTCATTTCATATACTTTTTATTTTCTTTTATTTTGTTGATAGTGGGGCTTGAATTCTGGGCCTGGGTGCTGTCACTCAGCTCTTCAGCTCAATCCGAGTGCTTGCTCTACCACTTGAGCTACAGCACCACCTCTGGCTTTCTCAGTGGTTTACTGGAAATAAGCGTCTCTTGGAATTTCCTGCCTGGACTGGCTTTGAACTGTGATCCTCAGATCTCAGCGTCCTGAGTAGCTAGGATTACAGGCATGAGCCACCGGCGTTCGGCTCATTTCATTTATATGAGATTTACAATTTTATGTTGATATGAAAAGTGTTTGGGGTCACATATGAAAATGACTTAGCAAACAATCTCAGCACATTTTACTATCCTCTCTTGAATCAAACAATACTATACAAAATAGTGCAAATGTATAATATATAACTCTGATTTTTTCAGATTCATTCAACATCTACACAAACTTGAGATTAGTTTTAAGGAGTGGTCTTGGTAAAGATCATCTATCTATCTATCTATCTATCTATCTATATATGTATACATATATACATATATATGTATACATATATACATATATATATGTATATATGTATACATATATATGTATATATGTATATATATATATATATATATATATATATACACACACACATATGACCCAAGACCCCTTGCCAAGAAATGTACCCCTTTCCTGACTCAGGCAACTGTGACCCCTCTGAACAGCATCGTTACCATAAAATAATATATATATATGTTAATCATCTTTATGCAACCCCCCCCCTTCTCCAAGAGGCTCACGTCCATCTCCGTGTAGAACCGTGGATTTACCACCATACACGCTGCACTTGGCTTTGCCAAAGATCAAAGTTTGGGTGAATGAAGTCACCTTCGGATGGCCCCAGGCCATGCCTTTCTCGCAGGTTCCGCTTCAGATGATTCCAGAAGGTGCTGTGGTGCTGGAGGACCCTGAGATTCTGGCCTGCACAGCTGGGGATCACCGTGGGGCAGGGCAGCGGCCCGCGCCCCGCGCCGGCAGCGCGCCTCCTCCAGTCGCGAGTTTCAGTGGCTCCACGGCCCCGTGGAGCCCAACAGGCTGGCCAGCCTTTGAAAGCGAGGCCCCAGCTCCTGAAGGTCATCGAAACCGTCCTCCTGGTCGGGGGTGGACGAGCCCAGGGAGCTCAGGGAGCCGGCGGGGGACCCGGTCCCCTCGAAGGCAAAGGTCTGCAGGGCGTCGAAGGGCGGCGCGCAGGGGTCGGCGTCGGCCTCCGCCAGCTTGTCCCGGATGAAGGCCCCGAGGACCGCGCCGTCGGGGCCCGCCTGCAGGGAGCAGCGGCCCCGGCTGCGGCCGCGGCGCCGGCCCTGCGCCCGGGAGCACGCGCGGCCGGCCGGCGTGTCCAGCGCGCCGGCGCTGCTCCCCAGCTCCACCACGTCGAAGGCCTCCGTGTCCTCCTCGCCGCCCCCTTCGTCGTCGTACTGGAATATGTTCTCCCTGAAGTCCTCCTCCTTCTCGGGGAACAGAGTGGGCTTCCTTCGCTGTCTCAGCGCCAGCATCAGAAGGATCACCCCTGCGGGAGAGAGCACACGGGGCCGGAGTCAGTGGGCGAGGCAGGCTCTCCACTGCGCAGCACCGATCCCAGCTCCGGATCCCAGCTCCCCCAGCCCGGACTGGACACTACCCGGTAAGATCGGCAAAATGAGGGAAGAGGCAACGCGACCCGTGGGCAAACGGTTTAGGGGCAACACCATAGAAACCCAGAGTGATGTCTGATCAGCTTAAAATTCAAGATCTGGTTCATCTTTTTCCTCCGATATTGAAGGAGAACCAGGTAAGAATAATGGGATATGTTCCCATTGGATTACATTTGGCAATCACGGTGGCCAATGACCCATATTAACAGAAAGAAATCCTCTAATATTCCTCATTGCAGCAGATGTCTCTGGGAGACATATGTCCTAGGTTCGTGGGCCTTGTCTGCAACATAAATAGGAAAATTTTTCGAAAACGTTACATGTATTTATTGATTTGATTCCTGTGAAACCCGTGCATTATCGTGTCCTATTAAAGGTGTGAAAAATGGAGCATGGAGAAGTTAAATCACAGCATCAAAAAGATACAGCTGGGGAAGTGAAAGCTCATATTCAACACCAGAAAATTAATTCAGAACCAGTCTTCTGTGATATCACATCAATTTCAGAAATGCCAAGGTGTCATCTATTTAAATCATAATACTGATTTGTGTGGAATCAATATTTATTACTTAAGACAATTTTTAAAATGTACACAGATGGAATACTTTCAGCACATTTTTAATTAAGAAAATAAGTGTGTGTGTCTGTATATATCTTTGTGTGAGTGTTTTTATGTGCAAATAGCCCAATCCATACTCAACCTCAGATTTTATGGAGCTGTTGAGCATTTTACAGTAATTTTTGAAACGAGATGTGAAACAAGATTTGAAACAATTTTAAAATCAAAAAAGAACCAGGTGGAACCAAATACAAATAGATAAATTTAGGAATTGATACAACCAGAAGCAGAGAAAAGACTTACACAAGAGTTGTGTAAGTTTGGAGCAAGGAACTGGGCACACCAGGAAAACTTAGCTAACTCCTAATAAATATAATACTCTAAGGAGAAATTAGAATTAAACGGACAGATAGTAGGTAAGGAAATTGAGTCAGTGAAGAAGAAATGTACAGTGTATATCACTGGTGGACATAGATGAAACCTTATTCAAGCACAGATGGAAAGTGGGTAACCAGAGGATCAAAGAGTACCTGCCAGATAGAGAGGAGGAAGAAATTCTGAATTCTTTTTGCACAGCAAGGTGACTGTAGCTAAGAATAATGTATTCTACATGGTGAAATAGCTAAAAGAACTTTATATAACTTCAACACAAAGACAAGATAAATAATTGAAAGAATGAATGTTAATGTTTCTGTTTTTATCATCCCATAATGCATACAAGTATGAAACATTATGTTTTAGCCCCAATATGCACTCAATTATCTGCCAATTACAAATATTACAGATGCTAAATATAAATGCTACAACATTTAAAAAATATCCTACATGAAAAATATTGAAATAATGATCTTTACAAACGTCAGATCATCATGTTCAAATTTAGGTACTATATAAGGTTGAACTAAGAAGAGATCTATGAAATAACTGTCCAATATACATTAGAGTATTTATGAAATCTTCAAAGAAAATTGCTATTAGTTTGTCCATACTTCTGCCTTATTTCTTTTATATAGAAGACTGATCTCAAGGTTCTACACTTGCCAGGCTAGTCCTCTTCCTTTGAGCTAAACCCCCATTCCCTGGCCCATATCCTTAAACAACAAATATTTCTCATGTATTTTTAAACTATGAAGCTGTTGATGCATTTGGTTTAGTTCTATTAATAAAAGTAATTTAGCCATTGAATATTGAATAGAAGTATGTTTTTACGACTATTTGTTTTTCCTATTTAGAGATATAGCCTTAATTAAGTTTTATGAATAAAGATGAATAAATATAATTAGAAAAAATTGATTCTGGGTCCAAAAATTGTTGCTGTTGGATGGAGAAAAGTGAAGGGCTGGCTCTGAATCTTCAACAAGGATCAAGACAGGGAGGCAGAGCAAGTCCTGAGCGGTCTGTCAACTTCAGAGGTCAGTTTAGAATTTCAGATCAGGAGCTGAAACTGAGGCGCTCAACATATAAACATCTCTGGCTGTAGGTGCAGAATTACAAGGGCAGAAAATACTGTGCATAAAATGTGAATTTTGGTGTGAAAAAGGGAAATGTTTAAGATGGATGAGACATTTATTGCTTTTAAAGACTAAGACATTTTATAGTTCAATTGCTTTATCTGTAAAATGATTGTCACCTATTCATGAAAACAAAGAGAATAAATGAGAAAATAAAGTGGGCAAAGTGTACTGAGATTTCTTCCTTCTCAGGTTCTTAATTGAAGAAGATTCTAATTTACATTCTTCATATCTAACATTTACATTATTATTTTACCAAGAGTTTCTTTCAAATATCAAATTCTCATGTTATACCACACAATGTTCTAATATATATATATATATATATATATGTTTCTTATGGAATGAATATTCAAGCCTCCTAACATAGCCACTCCTTTCATTAATTATAAATTAAACTGACATGCAAATATATTCCCATGCTCATTACAGCAAGGCTCAAAATACCCAAGATATGAAGTAAATCTAAGCATTACTTGAGAAACAGATAAGTAAATGTGGTAGATGTATATAGTGGAATATTATTCATCCTTAAGAAATGAAGAAAATCCTGAGGATTGCAGTTCAAAGTCACCCTGGGCAGGAAAGGCTGTAAGATTCTTATCTCCAATAAACCACCAGAAAAACAGAAGTGGCACTGTGGCTCAAGTGATAGAATGCTTGCCTTGAATTGAAGAGCTGAGGGACAGCATCCAGGCCCAGAGCTCAAGCCACACAACCAAAAATAGAAAAAGAAACAGGAAGAAAGTCCTTCATTTTTGACAACACAGATGATACTGGAGACCATACTGTTAAGTAATGTGAGTAAGGAAAGAAAGAAAAGTGCTGTACAATTCACATTTATCTTCAAACTCTTATTATTGCAGAAGAGAATGGGACTACTAGCGTGTGGAGGTGGTGAGGTCATAAGGTAATATATCCAAAGGTTCAGGTCAACATTAGAAATGAATTCGAGAGACCTGTTATCCAACATGGCAATTATACTGTGCAACCAAGGCCTATAATGTCACCGTGGTAAGGGTATACTTCGCTGTCTTTGGAGAGCACTGTTCTTGGGGGGGCTCTGGTCCCTGCAGTATAGTATGGCAGCGGGCCTGCCTTAGTGATGGAATCCCAGCTACTCACTGGCTGCATATCACTTGATAACGTACATGACTCCATGGCCATCAGTTTTTCCGTGTAAAAATCTATTTTGGGTAGGACTCTACCTGTGCATCTACACAGTGCAAGAGAGCATCACGGCTACTTCATCAGGTTGTTCTGAGGAGTATATTGCATACGATCTACAAAGAACTTAGTATCATATCCTTGGCACAGGAAGGGATCCACAAAACATTATAGGTCTAATCTGAACTCCTAAATCTTTCATATTTATCACAAGGCAATAGGTCAAGAGCGTTCATCAACATTCTTACAGATAGAATTCAAAGATCCCTGATTTTCAGTTTCAAAGAATTATTTATCCATTCAGTTCGTTTTGCTGACCCATTGGGTTAAGATTTACAGTACATTTAGAAGACCAGACACCTCTAGACACGCAGATCATTGCTATCATAGGATGATCTCCTTTACATACATATTCATCATCTTCGTTTCCAAATTCAGCATTACTTACCAAACATTACCACAGCACAGAGCAGGATAGCTATGATTACTTCTGTCCTGAATCCCAGCGCAAGCAGCAGTGTCTGCTCAGCACAGTCCCGAGCAACCCCAGTGGCGTGGCAGTCACAGAGCGTTATGGTCAGGGTGTTGGTACTTGTGAGTGATGGAATTCCATTGTCCGCAATTAAGATGGTCAAGTAGAAAACAGAGCCTTCTTGAAGGCTAAAGCCGGGTCTATTAGTCAAAATTACAGCTGTGTTATCTAAAATAAAAATTCATATTCATAATTTTTCAGCAATATAAGCTAAATTTATGTATACTACATACTAGAGGCAATAGTAGAAATGACTATCTAAGTTTAAACAAAATATTTCTGACGAAAATAAAACTAAAGCATCCACCCCTGAATTATTATTGCGTTAGCATGGTACAAATTCTCATGTTTTGCTCAGACAAATTATTTGAATCAGTTCCAAAATGTCTTTGATAAATATAGACATTATCTTTGTAGAACATATGAGCTAAGTTTTATAATAAACATTACTCTTTATGAGACATGCTAACATTGAACTTTTTATTTCAGTATTACCTGGATAAATCACACCTAACTGCTTTTTCTAACACTAAGAAAGAATTAATTCCACAGATTCTGGAAATGTAAAAGATTTCCAGTTATAAGGATAATAGCAAATAATCTCAACTACTGTTCTATAATAGAAAAACATATAATTTAAATAATAATAATGATGATGCTAGGAAATTTCAGTGAATTTAACATTATTCATTTTGTAATTATTTGTTTTTCTATTTAATAGGTGGAGACTTTTGAAAGATCTGTCTTTTCTTTTATTCATGTAGAGAGGCCATTCAGAATATTGATAAACATGAACATAATGCAAAGTATGCAAAAATGGTTCTTCCCTAAATCACAAACTTATCTAATGATCTTTTTGTGTGTAACTTCTTGTGACTAAGAACTAGATTTTTTCTTGAATTTCTTTGTCAGCTTAAACATTTTAACTCTCCATCCCAATATGTTATAAAGCCATCAGACAAATTACAGAAGACAGCAACTCTAAAGTGGTAGGAAACTCAAGCTTTTGAAGTGCAGATGTACTTAGAACTTTCCTAAAGTCATTGTTTAAAAACATGATATTAGTGAAGTCCATAAAGATCCAGGTGAATGTAATCACAATGCAGATTTAAGAGAAAAAAAAAACAATTCAAATTGCTCATCTGTTTTATTAAATAATTCTTACTCCAACATTAATTCAAACATTTTTCTCTATATTTCAGTATAGCTATTTTGCCTCAGTAACTTAGTCAATATTAATGTAAAATAATCTACAATATATAGATTATAAATATAAATATATATTTAATATTGATTTGTAAAAATATTTTACCCTCTATAAGGGTATTATCTTCATAAGGGAGTTTAGAATTAAATGAAGAGAAATACGTGTCTTTATGCTCTCACAAATGATCTCAAGTTCAGAACTCAATATCAATTGTAAAGAAGATCACCAGGTGGTAGGTGACAGATATTTGAGTAATTAATAGAATATTGATTAAAAAGAAAATTAAAATTAAAATCCATACTAGATCCAAAAATATCTTCCTGCAACAAATCAGAGTGGCTCTGTATAGTTAACCCACTCCTGCAAGAGATCAATGAAATTATACCTCACCACACAAAATTTGTCAAAATATTACATTCTTTAAATGATGCAAGTTTTTCTCACAATAAGAAATTAGACAATCTGATTTTATATCTTTATGGAAATTAATTAAGATTCCAGATATCTGAAAAACAATCAAACAAATCTAATCCTAAGACACAGATTTAAGAGGACGTTAGAGGCGATGTGGAAGGACATGGAGAGAGAGCTACATTACATTTACAGGACCAATCAGTTCCTACAACAGCTAAGAGCCACAGATGACTTCAAACATTTCATCTAATTCAAAGGAACACAGTGATGGAACCAATCTTCCTGCAACTTGAAACACATTTTTCATGGGATATTCATTCTTTTCATACACTCATCAACAATATCATGTTGCACAAATATAGAACTCAATGCCACAGATTATCTTGAAACCAAACTCAGTTTATAAAGAACAGATTGAAGAGACAGTTAGTAGTGAATGATATTACCTTGATTATCTATAAGTGTAAAACTTGAGTTGCTTGTGTCTTCTGTGGATAGGTTAAAATAAAAATGGTGCTCTTCCAGAGATTCATCTCTATCTATGGCACTGAGTGTCTGAATTATCTAGAAAAAAAAGGTATAGATTTTTTTAAATCATGTAAATGATCACTGTCATTTATTACTTTACAATATGATTTAAATCTTTGCTTAAAATTTAACAAATATCATTGAAGGGATTGTGGAGAATAATGTCAAATTAATAAAAACATTAAAATATTTTCTAAGAACAAAATTATGTGCACGTATTCTGTCAAGAAAGGGTTGTCACATTACATACCTAATGCACCCTTGTGCATGAATGAGAAAGAAAAGTTTATTATACACTCTCAAAACACAGTTATAATATACTAAAACTTGTCCTGACCCTATCATCCTTAATTTTTCATCCTCATCTGAATTTCAGTCGTTTTGATTTGCTGAACTCACAAATTTTCCCCCTTGCTCTTAGAGAAAATTTGCGGCAGAGTTATTGGCTTTCTAAAGTATTTCCTAAAGTAATGACTTTTTTAATTGATTTTTTTCAGAAATAATGCATTAGAAGCTTTAGTGGGCAATGCGTATGATTTCCTTTGACTCATAAAGATTATAGGAAAAGTCTTGCACATCTATGTTTTATTAGGCATTTCAGATCACACAAAAGCAAAGCGGCGAATTCAATGCAGATATGAATGGATCCGTTTTCAATTAGTTATTTTATTTTAAGACATGAATGTGTCAGTCAAGTAGCTCGTTATTGTCTGAAAAAGAAGACATACTTGTCAAGATCACATAGTGAGATTGTGATTAATTCTGGAAATTAAGCAAAATTGATTGTGGAAATTAGTGTTTTGAGTTTGATAGAGTTAAAGTGCCTTTAAAAATGGGATGCGGTAAAACTCTCCTTAGTTTCAAGATGACAGATCCAATTTGATAAAAGTTACAGTTCATAGAACATACATTTCTCCAGATGCATGAAGAACACTATGAAATTAGCTCAGTCTGTATATTATTTCTGTGCATTTTATACCTATCCTCATAGCACATTTCCAATTAAATCATAATCATTCTGTTAGCTAAATCGTATAGGGGAAATGGAATTGCCGTTCGCTTATGCTCAAAATAATAAATGTAAGTGTATAATGCTGCATCAGGATAAAACTCTTAGTTTAGATTAGCCTATGATTTAATATAGACTGAGTAAGAGGGTGGGCTTAGGAGACTGCTAGCTTGAATCTTAACTTTGCCACTTTACAAATTTTTTATTCCAAAGAGCTGGAGGTAAGAATACTTAATTTTTAGGATTATATCACTGAGTTTATCAGAGAGTTTCATGTGTAAGTAGTACATATGTGTATGAGCTTTCCAAGGAAACATCCTTCTGTTTTTTTCTAAAATTTACATAGAAAAAGGTGACATATTTGTAGTAATTGAACTGGATCTGTATTTGTTGAGATACTATTGATAATAAATGATACACATTATTTTTAGCTTGTTGGCATATAAATTCTTGCTTTTCAGACAAAGAGGATCTTTAAAAAAACAAAACAAAACATGGACCTCTGTGCGGACGCTAGAAATGTTCCTGTTTTGTGTATGAAGGTTTTGCGTATGCAGACACTTTGACCATGTATATACATTCAAATAATGTAAAATTATCATGGGCTTTGTATAAGCAAATCAGACCTGCAGGGTTTCACCACCTTCTTCTCAGAGAAAACCAAACTTACACCCACACTTACATTTGCTTCATAAACTGATCTCCCAATAAGACATTATTTACTGTCTTCCACTGCTTTAAGAAATGGCAATGACAGATATGAAAGAATTGAACACACGAGCTTCCTAAAACAGTGTTAAGTTAAATTTAAACATCCACACTTTATTTCTGTGATAACAAAAACACCTACAATATGGACACCATTGACGATGGGTCTTCAGCTTTTCTTAGAATGTAGAAATTAAAATGATTTTGTCTCTATGTTCAATTAGAATTACAACTCAATTCATGTTTGCAGATTTGGATATATTTCAGAGGGATTTATGTGGATTTGCTTAACTAAACATACTGATGTCATAAGTTTATGGCAGGAAAAAATTAGCAATTTTTAGACTAATATTTCAGGCAGTTAGTTCTGGAAGAAAAATCATAAATTAATAGGCACAGCATGATTCGGAGCATTGCATAATAAAATAAGTGGAAATAAGTAAAATCAATCCTTTGTAAGTAGAATATGACCAAATATTGTCAGTTTCAGAAGTTTCAGTATAGATATTTTATAGCGCTGTCAACTAGATTTGACTTTGAAGATAACCATGGGAGGAAAGGTGGACATTTTTCGAGTGTTAATCATTTTTACTCTATATTTTGATAACAAAAAGAGGCACAAATGAGCTCATTTATTAAATGTAATTTTTAGACAAATTATTCTGGTAGAAAATAAATGCAGTATTCATTATCCACAAATCACAGGTATGGTCTTCATTAAACCCATGTTTCTGACAACTTGTCTAAGAATTTACTGTTGTACACTATGATTCTGAAAAAATATTCATTTGAGGCTTTCTTTCTCTGCAGAGTAGATAAAAATAAAACTCATATTTAAGTTTTGTGTAAAAATGCTTTGCTGAATAAGATTATAAACTATATATTAGAATAAAATGATCAGCTAATATATTGATACTGAATTATTATTCAAAATTTATAAAAAACTTTCCTATTTCCAATTTTCTTAATAAGCAATTCTTACCAATACAAATATGTTTAAGAAAAGGTAGGAACTGCATTAAGGTAACAAATTGGAAAATGCTGTTAAAATCTTATGAAATATGTATTTGGTCTAGGATGCTTATACTTTGCACAACATTAAAAATATAAATGCTTCCCACTCTATAAATAATCTATAAATCTATAATAATCTATAAATAATAATAAGTTCATTCTACTAAATTGATTTCAAAATATATTACTTTGATGAAATAATTTTGGGGACTCAGAAAGATTGTTAAATAGCTATTAAAAAGTCAAAATGCAGCTAGATGCTGGCGACCAACACCTGAAATCATGGTTAATCAAGAGGCTGAGATTCTAAGATCACAGCCTAAAACCAGTCTAGGCAGAAAACTCCATGAGACTCTCACCACCAATTAACAAGGAAGGAAAGAAGGAAGGGAGGGAGGGAGGGAAGGAGGGAGGAAGGAAGGAAGGAAGAAAGGAAGGAAGGAAGGAAGGGAGGGAGGGCGGGAGGGAGGGGGGGGAGGGAAGGAGGGAGGGGGAAGGGGGAAGGGAGGGAGGGGGAAGGGAGAGAGAGAGAAAAAGAGACAGAAAGAAAGAAAAGAAAGAGAGAGAGAAAGAAAGAAAGAAAGAAAGAAAGAAAGAAAGAAAGAAAGAAAGAAAGAAAGAAAGAAAGAAAGAAAGAAAGAAAGAAAGAAAGAAAAAGAAAGAAAGAAAGAAAGAAAGAAAAAGAATCACACTAGAAATGCAAATGTAGTGCAAGTGGTAAAGCATCATCCTTGAGTGAAAAATCCAAACAAGACCGTGAGGCTCTGAGTTCAACCCAGTACAGCATAAAGAAAAAAAGCCAAAACTACTATAAATGAACAGAGATAAACCAAGAATATCTAGATCATAATGTCTGTGTTCTTTGTGTCTGTCTCTGTCTCTATCTACTTTTCCATATCTTTCCTTTTTCTTAGAATTTCATATTCAAAAGGCTATTTTAAGAAACAGTATTGCAATCATTTTGATTTGGACAGAAACAGACACCTTTTCAGTAATCATTTCACAAAGTTATATTACCTAAAATTAATGGTTAGTATAATTTTTTAAAATCATTTTAATCAATACAAGTATTCTGTTAAATATATAATTCCTGATGTCCATCACTCTCTCATATGTGTATATATATGTATGCATTTATATATATGCAATTGTATGGACATATATATGTATTTATACATATATGTATATAAATGCATGTATGTGTTTTGTGTGTATTTATGCACATTTACATGCATATATACATGTATACATAAATGTATATGTGTATGTATATGAATACATATGTATGCATATACATATATGTGTCTATTCTGACCTTAAATTTCTACAATGAATTATTTTTCCAAAGCTCAACTCACATTGTTCTTAATAGTAGTTGACCTAGTAGAACAGTCTTATTTGTAGCAGTTTCTGTGTCAGTATTTTGGATGGTCACTTTTGTCATTTTATTTTCTTTGATGTATGTAAAGGTACTTGAATCAAAATGTCAAGATCTTTTTTAACATTTCTTTAAAAATGGAAAGGTGTATTTTATAATTTTGAAAATATTTAATTTGCAGTTCTTTTAACCAAAAATTTTTCAGGAGTTTTTCTCTAATATTTTAATAAACATATCTATATAATACTAATATGTATGTTATATATGTATTGTACATTATATATAATATATATATAGCTAAATAATATTACTGATCATAGTTTAAATATGCTTTCTTATTTTTCTATACAATTTATTTCCTGTTTTACTTCCATTAAGCCCAGGTAGCTGAGTTTTGTAACTTAGTATTTTTAAACAACAATAGATTTGCAGAAAATTTCAAAAACTGCACATTGATTTTCTTAAACACTTCATTTAGCTAAACTGAAGTTGTATCTCATGTGACTACTACATACAATCAATGCCAGACTCATCCATAAAACAAAATATAATATCCAAGCAACCTAATACTTATTCTAAAATTCTTAACTTTTTGTACATACTAGACACACTGTAGCACCTGAGGGAATATGAGCCTAACTTATGCAATATATATTGTCTTTGTTGTGCCTCTGCACTGCAAATTTAAAGACACCTTTAAGCTCATTCAAATCTCTTTAGACAAGGGTAACTCCATGAAATAAATCATAACGTGTAGCTTGATGCTTAAGAACTATTGTAGCAAGAAAATTACGTCTAGTGAAGTTGTCTTCTATTCATTTCCTCACATAATTTTATCCAGATGAAATCTTTATAAACTGGGAATGGAAGAACAGAAGTTTTGTTGTTGCTTTTCACACAAGGGATTCGAGTTCTGTATATCCAGATTATTGTTTAACTTGAAAAGATTGATGAGTGATAAGCATTCCTTGTTACTGTGACAATCTTCCAAACTTTTGTTTGCTGTTGTTTCTTATTTCATATTCCCACATTGCATATACTTGAATTCAGCTTATAGACACATACCCTTTTGATTTTTAGAATACTAACCTATCCCTACAATGCTCCAAAATAAACATTAGAAAACAGATGTTAATTACTATCTTTTCTAAAAAACAAGTTGCCTCTTCAGAAATGTGGGTTAGAGCAACAAAACAAAACAATGAAACAAAAGAAAACTTAGAACAAATAAATAAAAGGAGTAGAATAATTGTGATACCCTATTGAATTTACTCATAAAATTAAGAAAACAAAACCACCAACTGTGCAAGGATATACACAACTCTCACAGGAAAGCTGTGAATATTCTTTGAATTATATTTCATAATTCAACAAGAAGAACAAAATATTAGAAAACAAACTTTATACTTTTGTCATCATGTTGATCACTTGGAGGACGAGAATAATATTTACTTGGAAATTGAAGGATTTATCTCTTCATTCTCCTAATACTATAGGACAGTTAAGCCACTGCCAATACCTTAAAATAAATCCACCATTATATTTTGCCAACTATTTTTGCTGCCAATAATTATTGGTAAACTATCATTTATATTGATAATATCTTTAAGAAAATACTCCCTACAGTGGAATACAAAATCTAAGATAGGCTATCAAAATAATTTTATGCATTATTTATTCTTCATGATTATTTTAAAATATTATATTTTGTCCTCAACTACATTGAAAATTACATTGAGAAAACTAAAAAAATCAACAACAAACTGAAGAAGTTTCAACAATTCAAATTATTTTAAGTTAAACATTTGCAAATTCAAGTATAAAATCTAGGTAGTTTTGATTTGATGTGAACATGAAAGGGAATAGATAAATGTTGCTTTTCTGGGATGATTTATTGATTGTTATAGAATCTAATTACCTCAAATTTTGTTACTTCAAGAGTCATTAAGTTGGCTGCTCTATTACATTAGAAGCCAATTTGAAAAGCTACTCTTATTTTCTTCATTTTAAGATGCTTTATTAGATGAATGGCATTCAATAACACCGTTTGATTTGGTTATTATTCCTAAGTTAAATAAATATCCATCAATCTAAATTATATTTTATACACATTTTACATACTTTGCTAAAATCTATATACATAAAGAATCTGTCAAATATGCTTTCTATAATGTACTAAAAGCACATTAAAATGTCTATCTCCTGTGAATACCAGTAATAAGTACTCTAATGTACAGTTATATATTGCTAATTGCTTATGACAAGAATATGTTCTGAGGAAAGCATCGTGATGGGACTTTGTCTTTGTGAGAGCATAATAGAGCTCATTCATGTAAAAAATAGATGCTAAAACATTTATTTCTTCTAGTATACTTGAAGAAAATTCTTGCAATTTGAAAATAAAATCAACTTAACTTCACAAGGAACAAACTGAAAATCATGTGCCACAAATAATGACAATCTATGAGACACTGTGTCTTCATTCTTAAATATGGTGATTTGATTATTAAAATGAGTCCATATGGTGTAAAAAGAAGATCTATACATAGATTACACTCAATAACATGGTTAATGATTTATTTAGTAAATTCTAGTGTATGTGATAGCATGGGAGATTATTGTTGATTCTCTCTCTAATTATCTGGAGAAACATAGGAAGCCACATAGCCTTTTTCAGCTACACAAAGGAATTTACCATAAAAGGGGATGAATGTGTGAGCTTCTGAATTTGACCAGGATATCTCAAAGAAAGGGAAATGAAGATCAAGAAAGTTGTGGTTTCCTTGGCACTTAAAACCAGGAATGTAATTTTGTCTGCATATGTGAAGATTAAATCTTGTTTTCCTCCTTTCTCATTAAATGATGCCTGGCAAGAATGATAACTTCACAGACATTTTTCCATATCATTTCATATGTCAGACTTTTAAAAGAACACAAGAAATCTTATTTCCATTAAACTCTTAAGATGAAAATGGAAGGCAAAAAATCAGCCAGATGATAAAAGCAACAAAATCACAGAAGTCAGCACACACTGCCCAGTAACAATGCTAGAGCCAGCCACCTGTGGCTCATGCCTGTAATCCTTGTCAGAAGGCTGAGATCTGACCATCACAGTTCAGAGCTAGCCTGGGCAGAAAAGTCCACGAGACTCTTATATCCAATTAACCACCAGAAAATAGAAGAGCTCAGGAATAGCACCCAGGCTCAGAGTTCAAGCCCCACAACTGATAATAAATACATAAATAAACAAATAACAATGCTAGAAAGTAATAGTGTTCACCTTCAAGACAAAGACATTTAAGGGATAATTGAAGAAAAGATTACTTGTTGTTGTCTGCAAGATATACATCTTACTAACAAAAAGCACACAAAAACACCAGGATTGATGAACAATATTCAAAATAACGAGAAGCTAAAAGTTAATAACAACGTTCCTAGTTGCAGCATTCATATATCACTAGGTAAACTGGAAGCCAAATTTTTAGAAGAGATAAAAAAAGATCCCTGCAGCTGGGTGCTGGTGGCTCACGCCTATAATCTTAGCTACTCAGGAGGCTGAGATCTGAGGATCATGGTTCAAAGCCAGCCAGGGCAGTAAAGTCCGAGAGACTCTTATCTCCAATAAACCACTCACAAAACCGGATGTTGTGCTGTGGCTCAAGTAGCAGAGAGCTAGCCTTGAGCTGAGGGACAACGCCCAGGCCCAGAGTTCAAGCCATGACTGACAAAAAAGATACCTGTATATTAATAAAGGGAAGAGTCTATCAATAATTTTTCCTTTACCAAACAAGCTCTACTGGAAATAGAGATACATATATGTCAAAATACAATAATAGGCATTATTTCAAACTTATATGTGAATTGAAATAAATATATTTTTGAAAATAATCTGTGTAATATATTGCATGAACCACATACGATAAGTATTATATACTGTTGTGTATTATTTATTTATAATAAATGGCACTATAATATATTGCTTAGACTTAAGTAACTTTTTTGTGTCTTACCTGGCCAGACTCTGCATTTTCGCACACATAAGTCTCATAGTATTGAGAAAACTCAGGAGCATGATCATTAATATTAAGAACTTGAATATATACAGGAATTGAAGAAATCTGGTATTCATTTTCTATAAAATATACAGAATGAAGAAAATAACTAATACTTTAGTAAATGTGTTGCATACATTCATTAGAGTTATTGAAAATATCTGGAGAAAGTTATTTTTTCAAGCATGCATGAAAAAATAGCTTTTCTGTTAGTTTCTAATTTTACTCCATTGTGGTCAGACAGGATATACTATGTTATTTCAATTTTTGTAAATCTACACACACTGGCTTCATGACACACAATGTGGTCTAATTTGGAAAATGATCTGTGCAGTGCCAAGATGAATGTATTTTCTGTAGCTGCTGGTTGAGAATTCTACAGCTATTCATGTCCATTTGGCATAAGCTCTCAAGTCAATGTAAGGTTTCTATGTTGAATTTTTTCCTGGAAGTTATATCCAATCATAAGGCTGGAATGTTGAAACTAACAACTCTTTCTGTGTTTGGATCTGTGTATGTTCTTACGTCAGCTAATGTTTGACAAAATTGGATACTCCAACACTTGGTGCATAGATATACTTATGTCGGGGCTGGGAAGGTGGCTCAGTGGTAGAGCGCTTGCCTTGCATGCCTGAGGCCCTGGGTTCAATTCCTCAGCACCACATAAACAAAAAGAAAAAAGCCGGAAGTGGTGCTGTGGCTCAAGCGGTAGAGCGCTAGCCTTGAGCTGAAGAGCTGAGGGACAGCGCCCAGGCCCAGAGTTCAGGCCCCATGACCGGACCCAAAAAAAAAAAAAAAAGATATACTTATGTCTTCCTGCTGGACAGTTCTTTTTATTAAATTGAAGAGTCTTTATTCATCTCTTCTTACCAATTTTGATATAAAATCTACTTAATCAGATGTGATTATTACTACCTCCACTTGCTGATGAGGATTTTATTTCTTAGAAGATATTGTTCCAATCTTTCATCTTAAGGAAATATTTTTGTGTTTTTTTTTGGTAGGTGTATCTCTTGTAGACAATGTTGAGCCTTGCCTTTGGATTCAACTTGCCATTCTGTGTCTATTGATTGGGGGTATTGAGGCCATTATTACTGAGTGGTAGAATGGAGAAGAATGCAGCTGAAAAGGTAGGATGGGATAAATTTGATTCACATTTTTATCTAAAATAGTCAAGGAAAAATTTCTACTTAGCACATTCAATTCATGAGACATATATTTGGCAGCTTTAATTTGTAATAAGCTGTAATAGGAAATGACGACTAGAAATAGGAACTGATAGCTCTAGAGACAACGTGCTGAAGTCTAGGATACTGGTAGCACTTGTACTAATCACTTACTTCTAATGGCATGTGTAGCACCATCTCCATCCCAGTTTCTCTGACAGAAACGTGAGGAAACCACCTAGGGTTAAATACCACCTAAGGTCACAGCAGAAGCCAAGATAACTGAGCAACAAGCTAGCATCAGTGCTACCACACTCTAAAGCTCAGGGTAGAGCTTTGAAAACCAAACATGAATCACAGATACAATATAATGAATACACTTGAACATAATGTGACCACATCATATCAAGGTGAAGTAATTTATAAACATTAAGCTGATAAATATTCTAAGTGGGTCAAGAAATCTACCAAAAAAGTAAGAAATGACTAAATATATTTTTAAATATCAAAAAAGAATGAAAAAATGTCAAAACAACCATATGGTCAATTGAAATTTTCAATACTTTTCTTTGTTGTTATTTACAACATCTGAACTTTGTTTGCTGTCTTAAAGTATAAATAAGCAATCAGAATATATATCCTGCTGAATTTAGAATTTCAAATCCAAATTGATTATTTGTTTATTTATTTATTACTTACCTTGGTAAAATAAAAGTTTTCATTAAGATCTTTACAGCATTTTAATCATCTCCTGAAGTCTGATTAAATCATTGTATTGATAGTCACATAATGTTTTAGGGTGAGATAAGTCAAACCTCTTCAGGAAAGAAACACAGAGGCATGGTAGGGAAAACTCAGGATCATGCTTGTAGACAATATTGTCATTTGGTTAGGAAGAAAAGCCTTACACATCATCTGATTTAGTTCCTACATTAAGAATATTAATTGAAATAGCATTACTCTTAAATTTAAGGGTACCAATGGAAAGAAGTGAAGACCAAACAAAGTGTGGTTAATTCAGAAAACAATTAGTGAAGCAAGTACCATTATTCTTATTGATAAACAATGAGAGAAAATATGGTATAAGATTATTCATAAACAATGAGAGAAAATATGGTATAAGACAAAGATAATATCATGCATTAGTTATGCTAGCTAACTGGTTTATTGTCTTTTGGCTTTGAAATCTTTATTCATTGTTGATCTCTGCTTCCTTCATTTCGAGGTTTGGAGAGTAACCTGCAGAGGCTTCAAGCTTACCTTACATAAAACAGAAGCCACATTTATCTCAAACTTTAATGTGAACTTTAAAATGTCCTTATTATCATTATAAGAAACACTGGGATGTAGATAGAAGATATTCAATGAAATAAACAAAGTAATTTCTCAAGACTCACCATAACTCTCCACTCATCTTTCAAGCTAGATATTTTACAAATGATTATGTGAAATTATAATTGAGGAGATTGGCTATGTTTGCTAGTGAACAATCACAGTTTTCTTTTGTGTCATGGTTGTTTGGCTATTTTCCCTAACATGCTTACCATAGAAAGTCTCTAGTGTAAGTCTATGGAATTCTTTAATACATTGATAGAGTTCTGGTGTCTGAATGGTTCATGCACAACTGTGGGGAATATTTGGTGTCAAGTTTTTCCCTTCTTACACTGGATACTATTGATCAGTTGGAGCCTGTGAGGATAGTTTTTGAGAAGACAGCTTGTTTGTGTGTTGGTGTGCTAGAGAGTAAATATTTGATAATCACTTTTGAAGATAAAACATAAATACAGGCTTGTGTTATGTAATTGTCATGTAGTTGAATGTATGTAAGCACACACAATTGTTTGATTCATCATTTCTGTGGATGGTAGATATAGCAACTTAATAATAGATTTCTTCAGACAAAAAGCTACCACCTAATTAATGGGACAGGTTGTAATTACACTATCTGTCTAACCTTAGTTACATTCATACAATTGTTTTCCAATTTCACTCCAAAAAGACTAGCATGTTTTGGATCTTACTATGAAAACTAAATTATTTTAATAACTCTAATAACTAATAATTCACATTGTTTATTTGCCTAATTTAAAAAAGAAAATGCTAGTTTTTTTTTTTTACAAAAACTTCTGATATATGTGCTTCAAGTGAAGTCATTTTTGTAGATTCAATAAAATTTCATGTTTCAATAGCTAAATTTTAATAGCTCAAATTCATATCTTACAGAAAATCATTTTGTCAAAGACAGCCAGTCTTTCCTTAAACCAATATGAAATCGTTCTCACAGTAGCTTTGTAAAGCCTGACATTATAAACTTCTTGCTCTCAGAAATATTCAATGAATGAAGGCTGCCTGCGAAAGTAAACGTCTTTGTGTTTTCTGACCCTAGTAGACTTGGCATTTCTTCTTTTCCAAGAGGCCTTGTTGCCCTGTTACAATTTCTTTTTCACTCTTGGTTGCATAGCCAGAAAAACCAGCATCCAGACCCAAGTCCTGTTGTGTTTCCACTGAGCTGTTCATTACACTGCAAACGCTTGTAGGATGTGCCTTTTACTCAGCAGTGCCACCTGAAAACTGTCCAATAAAGTGGGGGATAGAACAGATACATGAAGAAAGCCCCAGGAAAACCAAGAACCAGCAAGGTGGTTGAAATTCCATGTAAGCTAGTTACAAACATGTGTGATAGAAATTTCATCTTTACTTCTAATATGTCAGAGTGACATAGTAAGTCAAAGGACAAAAAAATAGGAATCATGGACATCTTTTATTTTGTGTTAGTTATTTTTTATATAATTAATATGATTGGATAACTGAGTCATAATTTTATGTCAATAATTGGCTTGATTTTGATATTTTTTTCTGCTTCAAAAAAGAAATATATGAAAGAATGAAACAAATAGTCTTTAAAATTCGACCCTTTGAACAGATTAATTTGAATAGGAAATACAATTGTTTTGATATCTACAACCAATTAATATGCTACTCATACGCTTAACCATGTTGCATTTGTTCACCCTGGTTCCATCTTTCCTGTACCCCCCACCTTCCCAGATACAAACTAACAAACAAGACAAAGGGAATTGAAAACAAAAACAGCAACATCAGCAATTGAAATAAAAATATCTCTTATTTCCTTTTCTTGGAGTCATTTTATAATATATTATAGAATCAACACAGATGCCCCTCAGTGGACGCATGGCTAAAGAAAATGTGGTGTATACACACAATAGAATTCCACTCATCCATCAGAAAGAATGATATTGGACCATTCATACAGAAATGAAAGAAGATATGTATTTAAATGTTTTTTTTCTTTCATGCATTTGTTTCTAACGCATTTATAAGATTATTTCTTTGTTGCTTTGTATGTCCCTCCCCCGCAGTAAAACCCCTGCTTTCACTGTATTTGATGTCGGTATAATTTGTGGAAGGGAAGGGGAAAAACAAGTCGTTTAAATAAGGATACAGATCGATCCGTTGCAACAATGAGAAGTACAAGTTGTCATGTCGAAAACGAACTTTACAACTTTGGTCGGGGGGAAAGGATTGGGTGGGGAGGCGAGGGGAGGCTGGGAAGGGATGTGAAGGGGAAACAAAGGAGGAGGCTACAATGATTGACAAGAAATGTACTCATTATCTTGCCCATTTAATTGTAACCCCTCTGTACAGTATTTTCACAATAAAAAAGAAATGAAAGACTTGGGAAATTTTATATTAAGTGAAGTAAGTCAGAGCCAAAGAAATGTAAGCTGTATGGCTCTCTTTTGTTGTAAGAACCTAAATGTGCCTGTAAACCTATATGTAAAGCACACTGTTGGTCTCCTGAGCATGTACTCACCGGTTTCCATGGCTGCGACACTCAGGTTGAACCATGCCATGTCCTCTCTGTCCAAAGGCCCCGTGGTGATTATAGTACCACCTTCGTCAATAAGGAATATTTCGCTTTTGGTAATAGAATACCTGTCCCCAAAGGAAAGCATTCATTAATGTTATCCTTTTGTCAGTGTAGCAATATTAAGAAGCCATATTACACACTTTTAATATATAGTCAATGGGATACCAAATCGTTAAATGTATTCCTGTGTCTAAGATCCAACTCAGTAGTGATAATTTTAAAAAGTGGTCCTAGATTTTAAGTGTCTACCATTCACATTTCCATGAAGAACACTAGATAGTAAACTACTTGGTTAAAAGCAAATGCAAAGATCATGTGTAAAGGGAAGTATGAATAAGTCATGGTAAATATAAATGTTGGTAAGCGTATAATACTTTTAAAGAAATAAGTCTATTCTGCCCTTCATGGCCCCTGCTCTCTCTCTTAGACCTCATGCCTTGCTAGCTACTGAATTCTATCATATTTTCTTGAAAGTTGATTCACAGAAAATGTTCATTTCTGATTCTTTACACCAGACGTGATAATAGATGGTAAAACAAGTTCTCTCTGCATAGCAGATTGACCTTTAATTCTTTCAAGAGCTACATAATATTTTCGACACTAGAAATATTTCAGATCTACTCTCTTACTTTGGATATATACATGTTGATTACATATATAATGCAGCATGCCTGGAAGGAACTGGAGTAATAAAACTCCCTCATGCAACAAGTCAGAACATTATCTCCAACCCACAATGAAAGAAGCCTTTGAAGCATTCCACGTTTCATCAGCTTGCAAAAGATTAATAATAAAAATCGAAGAAGAGTAGTAACTAGGGTTCAGTGACAACTTTTCGTTTGCACGTGCATTTCTGAAAACTTTCATGAGACTTCAAGGAGATGGCCCTAATTACATGGCAAAGATGAGAATATTATAATCTTAAATTGGCAGGCTTCAAAAATATTACACTAATTTGCAGCTTGATGTTCAAGGGAATATTAAACTAAAAATTAAGGAAACTGAAGTCTTAGAGGAGTTCAATTTTAAATAGATTCTGTTTCAAACATTAAGTACTGTTTTATTGAACTATCCACTACCAGCTGTATTTTCCACTGAATAGATGGGTTGGAAAATATGAAACTATTTTAACAGATGCTAATTTGATATTAAGCATTTAATCATTTTCCTATAAAACACTATTCTTCTCAAAGAATAGAAAACTTTGGCAAGAAGTTGTAGTGTCTGATAGCATAATAATAATCTGTTAGTAATTAAGAAGAGTCATGGTTAAAATAAATAGGTGGTCCACTAGAAAATTCAAATAGAAATTAAAACCAATATGACCCCCCTAGAAAAAGTGAATTATCTATCAATGATATGTGGTATGTATTATTTATCTTTATTCCTCATTGAAAAGCATGTTGTTTGATTATTTATAGCTTTATTTAATTTCTGTATTCTATTTATATGGTATAATATTTCTAGCCTTGAAATGAGTTATAATTATCTAGTTTGTGCATGCATACATAAAGTCAATTTATATAAGTAACAAAACTGAATAATATATTAGTATAATACGTATTTATGCATATGTATAAATTATACATATGGATATATTTACTATATACATTATATGTATACATGTTTATACATATATGCCTACATGCATGTACAAGATAAAATTAAGATTTTAAAGTCTTTAATGGAAAGCAGACATAGGAGTTGATTACAAGTAAGACATTACTTTCTTTTGATTTATAATATTACCACCCAGTTCAAATTAGTCATTGGTGCTTTTCTCACTGGTTCAGTGAAGGACACAGAATGGGGGGAAGTTCCAGTCAGCAGCAAGAACCCTGTCTGTGAGCAATCAAGCCAAACCAGGCTGCCAGGCAACGTGCTCAGTCCCTGGCAATGGCAAAATAGAATAGACAAAACAAAGAAAAACAAACAGATATTGGAATCCATTTATTCTCCAGAACTGCTGTGAAAATAGTAAAGAATTACCTCTGTCTCTGATCCAGGTTTTTCTATGAAAACAATATATACAAACATAGCTATATTACTGTTCTAAAGCAAACCATTAATTATAATTCTATGAGTTCAACTACAACTATAGTTGGATTTTGCCAGGCTTCCTTCTAAAGTTCTCTCCCTTTTTCATGACCTAGTGTGGAACTGCAAATGGCATTTTTCTCCCATGTCTCCTTCTCCCGTGTCTCCTGAGTTCCCTTCCTAGCTTCTTAGTATCTTTGGCTTTCATATCTCCCATGCTATTGAAAAGCTCTGGAGCATTCTGTTATAAAACATATCCCAAACAGATGAATGGCAAGAATAACAGCAGAGGACTGCCTTTCGCTTTGAACAGATGGACAAGGAAGAAAGAGAGGAGTGGAATTCTTTCATCATCCACTTTTACCTTTCATTTTTGATGCAAAGGAGATACCACATGTTTAACCCTTTTGCTTTACATTTATTTCTCATCTAGTCACCTTTCAATGTTCTGTGATAGTCAGATATGAGAGTCAAAATTGGAGAAATTTGGATAAAGCTCACATGTAATTTCTATGTCACGCACACAAACACACATATACGATATAGATCACATATCTATCTATGTATACATATGTCATACCTGTAAAAATATGCAAATGCATATATAATATATGTATATGTGCATATACATATGTAAATGAATATTTTTTCACATATATACATTATCATACATATGTGATATTTAGGAGTAGGAACTATGCTACCCATGTTGAAAGGTATTCAAAGGTAAAAGCTTACAGTGGAACATAGAAACAAAAATATAGTATGGCTCCATCTAAGGATGTTGTCACATACCCATAGTCCCAATTAATTGGGAGACAGAGATAGGAGAATCACAAGTTAGAGATAGCTTAACTGGAGTTAGTGAAAACCTATCTCTAACAAATAAACAAGCCAACAAAAATCTAAGTCTGTGTTTATGGTAGAGCTTTTCTATCAGATATAAGACCCAAGTTTCAATCCCCTGTAATTCACAAACATATAAACATATATATATATATATATATATATACATATATATATATATACACACACACACACACACACACATACACACACACACATAAAAAATAAGCATAAAATAAAATTAAATGGCTGGGAATGTGGCTCAGTGGTAGAGTGCTTGCCTTGCATGCAGGAAGCCCTGGGTTTGATTCCTCAGTACCACACACAGAGAAAAAGCTGGAAGTGTTGCTGTGGCTCATGTTGTAGATCACTAACCTTGAGCAAAAGGAAGCTCAGGGATAATGTCCTGGCCCAGAGTTCAAGCCCCAGAACTGGCAACAAATTAATTAATTTTAATTTAATTTAATTAGCAATCTTCTTCTTTGTATAAGCCTTAAGTCCAAAGAGAAAAGCACAAGTCCACTTCTTAATCAATATATGAAAATTTGGAATTATCTGGATTGTGTGTTAAAAAAGCAAGTAAAAAGAAAATTGGTGAAACGGAACCCATAATGTGTTTATAGGTCAAATCAGACTACTCACACAATGAGAAAGAAAAAGAAAAATGATAACCCTCATTAAAACATAGACTATTTTAATGGATTGAATTTTTTTAAATCTATTTGAATTTGAATAGGAATATATTTCTAATCAAATATATCATCTTACTCCTCTTCAGTTCCAGAAAATTTCCTCAATTTCCAGTAACATTTCAATTATACAACATTTATGTGCATCAATGATTTGCCAGCTTTGTTCTGCTGTCATTTTAGAAAACAAGAAGTTTTTTTCTTTTTTTTCCATATTTTCCCCCATTTCTCTCCCTACTTTGATCACTTGTCCATTTCACTGAATTTAGTCAGGATGCCTGTTTTAAATGTGGCCAGTCAGCTCTATCACTGCATGTTAAACTGCAATGAGGCTCCCTGATTTGGCTGGTTTGTTCCATGGTAACAAATTCATCAAAAACAACTAGAAGTAGAGATGAGTAGCTTTTCTCATGGTTACATGGCTTTACTCACGTTCATGAATTTACCTAATGGGAGATTTCTTTTGATCGGGGTCTGTGGCTGATACCTCTCCAACGAATGATCCCCTTGGGTTTTCTTCCAGAATTTCAAACACATAATACGGGAGGGAGAAAACTGGAGGCTCATTTGCATCTTCCACTTGGATTGCAATGAACGTGGTGGAGGGCTCAGAATGGAAGTGGAGGAGATGTTCATCAACACGAGGGTTTCGAACTCGAACTCTGATGCCGTAATGGCTCTGCTGTTCAAAATCCACCTTCTACAAAGAAAGGCATTGTACACAGGAGAAAGAAAGGCATTGCACACCGGAGAAATAGCTTAAGGAACCCAAAGGATTAACTAGAATTGTTTATCTTTCAGCTAGAAAAATTTAAAAAACAAATAATTCTTTGTATAATTCCAAAAGCTTTATAAAAACAAACACCTTTATCTCCAACCTAATTTTCTCCTTAAGCCACAAATCATGAGTCCTAATTTCAATTACTTAATGAAGCAAAAAATCCAAACAAACTGCACACACACACGCACGCGCGCACACACACACACATACACGCACACATACCTACACAAACATGCCAGGTATTTATGATTTGATTCCACATTGCTCTGCAAAGCAAATAGTTTTAATAACTTTACCTGTTTCAATATCACTATACCCTCCTGGGTCTCATCATTGGTGATGATGTCGAATGTTTGTGAATTATTGTCGTCAATGCTGTAATGCATTTGTGCATTCTCTCCTACGTCATCATCATAAGCAATAATTTTTCCAATGAAAGTCCCAGTAGGTGCTGATTCAGAGACAGTGAGTCGGTACAAACCTTCACAAACAAAATGGGTTATCATAGTCAAGATAAGCAACTCCCAATTATAGATTTTTTATTTATGAGATGCTAAAAGATTGGCATTTATTCTTCTGGTCACTTGTTCTGGACGTCATGTTCTGTTTTCTTTTTCTTTTAGAAGGTGTATGTTTTTGTGCTTCTGTATATTTGCATACAATTGTGTGTATATACTTTCTCCTTTTACTTTGTAATCTAAATATTTCTCTCACATGTTTCCTGGATATCGACCATTCATTCTCCAACACATCTTACCAATCTTATCATTAGAATATATGACCCCAAAATTTCATGTTTATGCTCATCTACTTGACAATGTGGTTTATTCTTTGTGTGTCCTGTAATAATCCCAACTAAATTTGATAAAAAGAATTTTCACTTTTACTTGAATTTTCCTGATACCTGATGTTAAAGTTACGGGAGTCTGAACTAGCTGAATTCTAGTTACAATAATTCATTTGTGATGGGAGGTTATAAACATTAGCTAGGTTTGAAACAAAAAGAAAGAAAATTTTAAAATTTAAAGTGAGAAGCAGAGATAATGGGGGTAAATATATTAAATACATGAAAACAATTACAGCTTATTGGACTTTTTCTCATTTTTTTTCAGAACAACAAGCTAAAACCTAATAAATATCTACACTATTATAAACGTACTACTTATACTATTCGCTGAAATGTAGAAAATCATAAGCATAGATACTGTAAAGTATGCGACATTCTAAGATTTCAAAAAGAAGAGTTTATAATAAATTATTTGCAGAGATATTTGTTTCTTTTCAAAGCCACAGCAAGTTACTTCACCACATGTGTTTTAATATTTTTGTGATATTTTTAAACAAGGGAGCAATGATACTGAATTAGTGCTCAAATTTTACTGCATAATTTTCTTCTATTGTTAAAAATTTCAATATTCACATATTTATTTATGGAAATTACAAATTACCATTTATTCTGGAGAAAACAGTGACAAAATTAGAAACAGGACAAAATACTTCACTTAGCTATTATCAAGTTTATACTAAATTACGTGCATTGAAACTTATGGGGAAAATATATCTACATTCTTCTAAGTCTTTGCATTTTCCATACATGGATACATAGCTTCACAAAATAAATTAACAAAAATCCTTTACCAATTCCATCATGGCGGGTTGGGCACACAGCAAGAAACACAATGAGAACAGAATGCCCTCAGAGTCTTACTGGAAATGTAGCAGAAATACCAGAATTGTGTAAGTATGAAGGCAATATTATGATACATTTTTGCTAGAATTTCCTCAAGGGAGACCTGATTACTGGGGAAGATCTGAAGTCAAGTAGTGAGTACCAGAGGAAACTAAGTTTCATGAAGGTAAAAACTCATGCCTTATGTAGTCTGGGAACAGAGAAGCATGGCTTGGGTTGGCGTTCCCAACAGAGAGGGCATAATACATGTAGATGAAGTCTGGCTATGACTGGGCCATCCTGGGAAGTTTGGGAACACAGGATCAATTAGTTTACACATAGGGTTTTGACCTTTGCTCTAAGATTGGAAGACACGGGATGAAAAGATCTGACAAGTATTTTAACAAGATCACTAAATTTGAGTGGAAATATAGAAAATTTTGTGTTATGGAACGCAAGCATAGAAACTTGATTAGAGCCTATGGTCATATTAAAAAAGAATTAAACGTTAAAATGACAGAGCTAAGATGGTAAAAATCAGTTGAGACCAAGCATGCAAGTATGTGTAAAGCCCACAGACCCAACAAGATCTCCGGAGGACTGAGGTTTTTGGTATAAGCAAGGAATGAAAGAAAAAAAAAACTTTCCAAATTGTCTTTGCAAAACTGCTTTTTCCATGATCATCACATGATACCTGTATACGGATGTATATGCAAATGAAGCTTTTTTTTCTATAAAGATGGAAGTAAATTACTATCTCAAATTTTCATTTGTGTTGTGGAGAATGACCCTACAAAGACATCCTATCGTTACCCACCCAGTTGCACAACTACATTTCCCTCCATGAGAGGAAGAAATAAAGCTTCTGATGGAATTCAAAGTGTTCATCTATTCATTCAGAAATGGAGTATTTATCAGGTTTATCAGGTTCCAATGTAAAAGCATGATTCCTTGAAAGAGATAGGACAGTGTCCGAAGCATTTGATAGCACTAACTGCTACAGGGATGTGTGGGCTGGTCATGAACCAGCCTGTGAAAACCACAAGGTCAGGATGTCCCTTACCTAACAGCCAAGGAGGCCAACTTTCCCTCCTTTATGGAAACAACTGAAATCTCCTAAGAGTAAAAGAACAAGGAAATTGAATCACCCCTACAAGTTACAGAGGGAATACATCCCTGAAGAAAACTTATGAGAAACCAGTAACAAAGATTTTAAGATAACGGAAGCTTTGATAACTGGCGATCCATTACTTTAGGAATGTTATTATTAGTATAATAGCAATATAGTTTTCTTCACTTCAAATTGACTTTTCACACTACTGAAAAGAATTACCCCTCATCTTAGTCTAGTTATTCTAATTCTTGTGCCAAAGCAGTGCTTCATTAATGTCATCATTAACAAATGTAGGTATATTCAAACTATTTGTATTCACATTACAATGGGATTTCAGATTTCTTGTACTTACTTTCTTTAAATATTGGCTTATTGTCATTAATATCTGAAAGCTTGATTAATACACTTGTGGTTGCAGACAGGGATCCGGGCTGACCGAGCATGTCTTTGGCTTGAATAATTACCCAGTACTCATCTTGTAGTTCTCTATCCATTTCAGAAGATATTCTTATGACTCCTTTGAATATGTAATACAATTACAATTACAAGCATTATTTCATCATTAACCACATGTCCTCCTAGGTAACTTTAAGCCAAATTTTACATAAGCATTCCTTTGTTATCCACTGAACAGTGCCACACAACGCCCACAGGGGACACGATGTGAACCTCAACTTTGCACAGAGTAGCCTAGGATGGTCTTCATAAGAAGAAAAGATGATCTAAACTTGAGTGCGGTTTTAACTCTTTCCCATTGTAAGAATTTCTCTACTTTCCCTGATATCCTGGATGGTCACCCACACACTCTTCCCTTAGCTCTGGATTCTGGTTTGATGATATCTTCAAATACAACTTAAACTGGTCCTCACTTATTTCTAGTATTTAAGCTACATTGCTTCGCTTCAAAATCACTCAGGTGTTTACTGATATCTACATATTCAAAATTTCCCTTTAAATGCCAACATCAAAAAGGCCATGTTTCTGGATTATTTTATGTTTTTTTTTAAACATGCCTAGAAACATTCAGTAATTTGGATAATTTGTGGTATTTAGTCAGTCATTCTCAACTAGGACTGTGTGAAGAAATTAAAACACAATGTTTCAAGGAACTATTGCATGTAACTAAAACAGTGTTTCCTGAATCATAAATATGCACACTGTCATTGAGGGAAGTGGGAATATAACTACTCAAATTTAATTCATCAGAATTTGCTACTCTCATGAATTTTTGATTGAGAAAAAGGATTTAATATTTTCTCTAAGAATTAATAAATAATTGCCCAGGATCCAACAAAGTTACTTTAATTCTTTATATCACTTAAATTAAATAGTATAGAAATAACAAGTTCTTCTAAATAACAACCAGAACATTTTAGCTCATTGATATTATTAGTAATTAGTATAGTCTGATATTATTTAGTAATTAGCATAAATTGTTTTATTTATTTCTAAAGACTATTAGTTTCTTAGAAAAAGACACATAGGCTTAATCTCCATTTTGAACACAAAAACATTTTTAAATATTTTTCAATTAAATCACATATATACCTATAAATATATACTACATATATATATATACTATATATAGTATATACATATACATATATAGATATATGTATATACAGATATATTTATATAAGCATTATATATATATATATATATATATTCTAAATAGTTCAGGACATAGCCAACTAGTTAGTCCAAATGGATGAAGCCGTAACTAAAAAGAATTAAATCAAGTATAATATGACTAAAAATAGTACAATACTGAACTTTCTAAAATAATTTGTCCTAAATACACCTAATTCAACCTTATATTTAATCCATCATGTTGCAACAATAGTTCTCTGTAGGATTTTTCTTCCCAGATGATAGTTGACATTAAAGGCTTTTTACATGTTTACAGATTTTTCCTAGATCACTTTTTGCCAATTCCTTATGTCTTTTCTTCATACGTTTGAATCGACTTGTCTTTCTTTTAGTCAAGCACATTACTACGAATTCTGACATGAGTTTTATACCACATGTATGCCCTAATTTTAGAAAAGCAGTTTAAACACTACATGTAATTTACAAAAGAATGCATTTATTTCTTGAACCACCACATTCTATGGCACTTTGTTTTATTCAGAGGTACCTGTTGTTGGCTCAGTAGAGAAGTACGCTTGGCCCTGCAGCAGGCTGTACAGGAGGCGTGCATTATTGCCAGTACCAGGGTCATCTGCGTCACTTGCCGTCACGCGGATGACAAATGTTCCTGAGCAGCAAACACACATTATCAGGAAATTAAAACTTAATTTGTAAGCAAAGGATTCCAGCTCACAAAGCACTCTTTACTTGACACAATGACCTATCACAATCTCCTGAGTTACCCCTATTTATGAAATACTGATGCATGTATGCTAACATTAGTTGACTACATTACACTTCAGAGACATTTATCCAAGTGGACATTTAAATGACTAATTATAGCTTTCTCCTTAGCGCCTGAATCTTTAAAACTATCTTATACTTTCGTTGTTTAGTAAGTTTCACACAGTCACATGGCATAGGTAAACCTAATTAAAAAGACATAGACAGGGTGTAATCTGTACCAAGTACTTTAGTGGAAAACAACAGTTAATTTCTTTGTAAATTGCCATTATGCTATGCTTCTTCCTTCTTTTGATACAAATGAAACATTACAATGAAACATAAATGGTGAAGTAGCTACTGTTTTAAAGCAGCCTGGATGATTCTCATTCACATGTTAAATTCAACAATAGTAAGAAAACCTTGCTAGATGAGGTTGTCTCATCTCTCATAGAATGTTTTATTCCCTGTGATCAAGAAAAACGCCCAAACACATAAACAGAAAAGAGGGATAGGTTTTTAAATGACTACTGCTTTAGATACCAGGCAGGTGAGAAGAAAGTCACCCGCAGCATGGACATTGTGTAACTAAAGCTTACATTTAGGACTCAATGCTGAAATGTACCATTGAACGTTCCAGTTTATTGTTTGAATGGTGAGATTCAAACAAAAGATTTCAAGGTGGCTCATTTATTTTAGAATGTAATATTTTCTTGATTTTTAATTCAGTAGTATAAAGGTTAACAAGATTTCCTTCAAGTTAAGATGTAAATCTTCTAATAAGAATGCTACTTAAACCTAAATGTCACTGGTTTTATGAATAAAGAATAAATTCTTTGAGATGTTTTGTTCAAATTTAAAGCACAATAGGTTAAATATTATACACACCCTAAATCTGTGATTTTGGCAAACATAAAATATGTATATGTTTCTTTAGATAATTAAGTGGTTATATTTCTAGCTATAGTTACATAAATTCCTCTAATTAGCTTCACAGTGAGACTGAATTTTAGTAGCATTAAGGCTGTAGGTAAAGCAGGAAATACTGAACTGACCCATGGTTACTTCATTTACATTTGAAAGACAATTACCATACAACCTAGAATATCCAAGTAAAACTCAGGAAATTGATATTTTCAAATTTGACACCTTAATTCTGAAAACTATTTTCCCAATTATTTTTTGTTTGTCTGACCACAACCACCTGAAAATGAGGTCAATGTTATTATTTTTGTGTTGTATCATTTATACTTCTCCTTTTAAAAATCTGAGATTTTAGAATCTAAGCTAAACCAATTTAACAGCATATAGGAAAACTAACAATATATTCAGACAACCTGGGAATAACAACTTATTCAAGCTTCTTCTCTTCATGTGTCTAAGGTATAAAAATATTAGAAACTAATTTTATGGCACCTTACTTTCGATATCATTTTATTATTTTCAAGTACTTGTTCAAAGGAGTTGTCCTTAAAGCAGTCTATGCACACAATATATCTTGATCAATGTTTCCCCTTTCAAGCCTCTCATCTAAGTGGTTAAGGTGAATGACTAGCAACTAATTTTAAAACAAAGAATTTCAAGTAAACCCTTTTTAATTTCCTGAGAAATAATTGAAGTTATTTGAATTTGTGTGTATTTAATATATTTGATCACTCTACTGTAACATGATGGTAGTATTAAATTGATGATAAATATTATTCACTCAAAATTTCTATCTTTAAACAGTGAAATAGATGATCTGATACATTTCCCTAATAATTATAAATTTCAGAATAATCAACTACATCTGCACTCAAATCTGTAATGTCTTTTTAACTCATGAAGTCTCTCTGATAAAAACATTCTGAAGCTGATGGTAAGTAAAATGATTCATTTAAGCATAAGAAATGGTAGACAGAATGTTGAAATGAAGTGTGCTTCTACTATGAGAAAGTTTAAGAATAGTATCTATCAAGTAAAGCACCAATAAGTGAGCTGAGAGAAGATAGTAACAATCTTTCCTCCTTATTTTCTATAGGCAGAAAAATCTAAAATTAAATTTTAAGAGTAGGCTTTTAAATTTGTATTTTATATACATAATACATAAATGATACCAATACCAATTATCATCCACAATAAGTTAATTATAAATATTTACTTAATATCATTGTTTCATATACAAATTGACCTAATGTTAAACTATAAATAACCCAATTATACCAGGAACTTCTCTGAGCTGTCCAGACACATTATCTGTGCCTAGATTTCAAGTGTCATCTTGAAATCAGTGTTCAGTGTTTATGTCAAAATGCTTCTCTGCAGAACTGTGGCTTTTTACTGGCAAAACCAACTAATGGAGGTTGAGTTAATTATTAGACAATGTACTAACTTTATTTTGATGCCCTCTTTGTTATTATACCAAGATAATATATATAATAGGTACTATATATATGAATAATAAAATATAGGCAAAATTATTATCAAGAAAGAGAGGGCTACCTAGTTGTTAGAGTATTGTTTAGGCACCATTAAAGTGCATAAAATGACTGCATACTTTAATCGACAAAAGTGAGAATTATGAGTCACTTATTTAGCAATGAATCCGCAAACCCTGGGGTCAGGAATAGCTGTAATTCACATTGATACTACGTTTCTCCCAACCTGTTTTAACTCTTCTGCAGTGATTCCATCCCTCTGTGTCTCCCTTCGCTCCCTTATTTAATCATGCTCTTCCCAGGAACCCTTTGCTACCCAGATGGTAAGTGGGAACACGATATTATATCTCCTTTCACTTTAGAGTTCATGTTTGGAAGCAAATACATTTCAAATATAAAGGCAATCAGCAATCCCTAAATTATATGTAAACCAATGTATGTATAATACAAGAGTGTGTACAGAGACACAAATATCTCATTGAGACTCCTACATAATTATAAATAGTGTATCAAAAATAATTCAGTAAAGCCACTCTAAAACGAAGCTGGCTGCTCTGGATTGCTTTCTTCACAGTTCATCTCTTAAAATGTGCCCTGTTTAGCTGGGCGCTGGTGGCTCACGCCTGTAATCCTAGCTACTCAGGAGGCTGAGATCTGAGGATCGTGGTTCAAAGCCAGCCCGGGCAAGAAAGACCGTGAGACTCCTATCTCCAATAAACCACCAGAAAACCGGAAGTGGCGCTGTGGCTCAAGTGGTATAGCGCTCGCCTTGAGCTGAAGAGCTGAGGGACAGCGCCCAGGCCCAGAGTTCAAGCCCCACGACCGACAAAAAAAAAAAAAAAAATGTGCCCTGTTTCCCTACACAATTAATCACCATCATATCCGCTGTTACTTCGCAGCTGTATTTCGTACCTTATCAATTATTATCACATTTTTACAGTTAGCTATTTCTCACTTGTTCATTTAATACTAAATACTAGAATATAATTGCCATTTGTTTTTATAACTCCATTCTGATGTTCAATGAAAAATGTTTAGTACCTTATGATGAAAGTATGCTTGCTGGAACCAGGATGAGGATAAGAAGAATAGAGATGAAAATAGAGGCATACAAATATATGCAAAAGGAGAGGGGAAGAATGAGGAGTGGAAGGTTAACAGGAAGAGGAAAAGTACAGAACTATTTCCTGATACAGCTAATGACACTGGATTTTTTAAAAACATTTTTCATATCTGATGATAATTAGTTTCGATTCAGGGTGCTCAGCTAAATTTGCCCATGGTCTAAATAAAGAGTGAATTTCTATACAGTGGCATCTTGAAATTCCTACCTGGATATCAGAAAGTGAAAAAAACAGGCAAATACATAATTCAATATGAATTTTTAGAATCATTGGATAACAAATCAGATATCTAGGTAATGCAATCTTAAAGCATGTTGGCAAAATTTAAGATGATATTGATACATAATATTAGGTTGTCAAGATAAAATATTTTGGAACTAAAGTGTCCTATCATTTTTTTTTTACCAAGTGGGAAAAAGACTTTTGCATAACCATGACCTTAGTGCAAATGCATCTCTGATTTTCAAGACAGTCAATTATTATATCTTACAAAATTAGTATCATCTATATATATGACATTTAAATGATTAATGACAGCAACATAAGAGTTGAAAAGAAATGAAATAAATGCAGCTATACAAAAGTGTTCAATGCTTGTTAGATTTGGGAGTTTTATATCCCACATTTCTTTCTTTTCTTTTCCTACCTCCCTCCTTCCCTCCTCCCTTCTTCCTTCCATCCTTTCTTCCTTCCTTCCTACCTTCCTTCCTTCCTCCTTTTCCTTCTTCCTTCCTCCCCCCTTTTGCTTCTTTCTCTCTTTTCTTTGCTATGCAGGTAATGAACTTTGAACTCTTGCTCACATTTTTCACTCACACTTGGTTCTCAATTACTTGAGCCACACCTCCAGCCCAACATTTTTTCTCATTAATAAGAGAACTCTTAATCTTAATCTTGAGAACTCTTCTGCCCTGAGCTGGCTTCTAACCTTGATTCTTTTATCTCAGCCTCAAGAGTGGCAAGGATGGCAAGTGCAAGCCTCCTTACCTGGCCTATTCTGTGGTTTGGATGCATACAACAGCTCTGATAATAAGCACTGCATTTCCCTATTTTTATGTGCAGATCTTGTAGAATTTTATCAGTTGTTCAAATAAAAAAGAGAACTAAGCTTTGATTTGCTTTCAAGTCTGAGATAAAATTTAATAACATATTTAATTAATATAATTTTACTACATCATCCACTTTCGCAAATGCTTTGCTTGAACAGATTTGTAAGTGCTCGTGTAGCTCCTAACCCATATAACATGGACTCAAAATTTCAAACGTGTTGTCCAAGCTACTATCTGTGATGTAAATGAATATGCAGTACCTTCGGGAGACATCTCGGGTACAGTGGCCTCATATGGTTCCTCCAGGAATTTTGGTTCATTGTCATTGATATCCGATACGCTGATGACAAATTCAGACTCAGGTTCCACAGCCTTTCCGGTGGTGGTGTCTATTACCTGGGCTTTCAGCCTATAGAGGGACCGTTCCTCCCTGTCAAGCTTCTGCTTGGCATAAATGTCACCTGTTCTTTCATCAATGACAAAAATACTTCCAGCTCCAGCCCCCGAAAGCTTGTACAGGAAAGAGTTGTTTCCATTGTCTAAGTCAGACCTTAGCTGCAAATGCAAAGAGAAGCAATTGAGTTTCTGGATTTGGTGTAAAGGCAAGCAAAGTCTTAGTTGTTTGGTTTTCATGTGCCTTCATCATTCCCCATGTTCAAAACCCAGAAAATGTTTAACTGAAGATATTTATTTCAAAATCTCTATTACCATCAAATGGGATACAGAGAGTTAAATTTCAATAGGGAGACTTGCATAGGTTTTTATGATTGTGAACAGGTAATTCTAATGAAGTCATATAGTAATTGAAAAACAATCCTTAATGAATCATAGTTGTAATGATGTACAATGTATTTCATTGGAATGTGTTTTGTGACATCATTCTTAAATACTGGATCCATATTCTCATATACTTGTGTTCATTTCGGACCTAGAGAAAAGCTGGGACAAAATGTTATTTGTATATTTAAACAATGGATGTTCTGTGTCTTGACTGAAAATACACAGGAAACAAAAACAGGAAGAAAGTCAAGGAACATGATGAGCAAATGATTATCTCAACAAATTTTTAGCTATTTATTGCATGCTTTTTATGTACAAATTGACATTTGTATTTTTAAAATAATCATATTAGGAGATATGGCTTATTCCATAGGAAAAGAAAGAACGAAAAATTATAACTTTCTCAAAGGCACAAATTCCTGTAGATTTATGCTTTGATATCTGGTATATCTAATTCTAGATTATATCTTGGTTATGATCAAGACCAAAGTTTAAACTTTGACTTTTAGCTATAAAATGTATTCTCTTCTGTTTAATTCTCAATTATATGTAGGTTCATTTTATTCATTATTCAGAGAATTCAGGAATTATTTAAAAAGTTAAATTTATATATAAAAATATTTCTGACATAATCTTTAGTGAGTATCACTACTGAATTGGTTCAATTTGATAAACCTTATTTATTCCATGAAGGAATTTTCTATATATAATGTTAAGAAATTGATGAAATTAAATAGGCATTCCAGTCAGTACACCAAGTGCACAATGAATGATTCACACTTCCAAGTCATATCATACTGATACCATTTGAGAAGCTTTTCAATAGTAGTATGAAATATTACATTTAGTAATAATAATTTAGAATAAATTCACTTAGTCTATTTTTGATACAATTTCAAAACAACAATGAGTTGGATGTTTTTAATAGCTGAGATTTATTTGAGAAAAGAAAAACAAAATGTTTACTTGTGCTTTTGCATCAGAATTGTAAAGGTTAACAACTTGGGATCTCCTATCCTCTGGTAGGTATTTTGAAATTTACCATGCTTGCACTCGACCGTATTTCCACAGCTCAGCAGCTTATCTGTCTGCCCCCAAAAATCCAATATTTACTTCATTGTACTTAACAGTTGTATTCATTTTGAAGAGTTATCTGCTTTATATCAGCTACATTTATCCTCTCTAGTTAATTATAGGCATGAAAACATCCTTTACACTTGTTCTTAAGCAGTTATTTGAATATCATATAAGCCACATGAGCTGGTTTATCAGGAAAACATCTCTTGAAGTCTTTTCCTCAATATTTTTGTATAATAATAGAGTCGGCACTTATTTATGCTACCAGGCATTTGATTTGCCTCTACACAAGGGAAAAACTAAAAAGAGTGATATTATTTATAGCAGGCAATTGCACACACACACACACAAACACACACACACACACACACACACACACACACACACATTTTTTAAATCCATTTGCTTAAGATCCCAAGATAATCATCGGGTAAATGGGATTGTGCTCATAGTGGCTGGTGGATTGGGTGAATAACTACATTAACAGAAACTCGCCAGAATCAAGAAGAAAACAAGTGTATTCGTTTGCTTTACTCTTTGGGCCCAATTAAATTTTAATACCAGCTAAACCTATTTCAGTACATTCATCTAGGCAAAAGCTTCACAGAAAAGTACCTGGCATTGCAATTACCTATGTTTGGCAAAATAATAAACCCCTAGCCAAAAACAGGAGATGTTCTGTCTGATTAAGAAAAATGATAGAATTAGAAATTGAAGTTATTTATTCCTTGTACTTCATCTTCACTAATCAACAGATATATATATATATGTGTGTGTGTGTGTGTGTATGTGCATATATATGTGTTTACATATATATATATATATATAGAGAGAGAGAGAGAGAGAGAGAGAGAGAGCTCCAAGATATGGAAACAAGAGATCTCTCTCTCTTTTAATTTTTATTTTTTGATGATTCTGTCTTCTTTTCTTTATGTGTGGTGTATTCAAATGCATGTTTAGGAGAGGCTTGGGAGAATTGGGAGAACTCCAGGGAAACGGGGTGGAAAGGTGCAGCCGTGGGGCTCCCTGGACTCGGAAGGAAGTGAAGGTCACATACAGCAGGTAGGTGGAGAGAATGAGAAAACAGACGACGCTGCATGAAAGGAAGCGGCTAGTTACCTGACTCTGTAATTGCAGTCCTGCCAATCATCTTTATAATAACAATAAATTATTTTTAAAAAGAAACATTCTTAAAACATAAACCCTACTGAAAAAAGTGAACCCCAAGATGGGGACACGAGTGGTTTTTTCCTTTCTTGCTATTGTTTCTAACGTATTTATAAGGTACCATGTGATTTGTTGTTGTTGTTGTTGCTTTGTATATCCGTTTTCACTGTATTTGATGTTGGTATAATTTGGGGAGGGGAAGGGAAAAAACAAAATGCTTAAATAGGGGTACAGGTGGACCCATACAAGACACTATGTTGAAAAAGCAACTTTATAATTTAGGTGGGGGAGGGGAGTTGAGGAGGTGGGAGGGAAGGGCTGGTACGGGAAAAAGGAAGGAGGAGGCAAGAATGTTTGATAAGACATGTACTCACTACCTTGCTCATGTAACTGTACCCCCTCTGCACAGTATTTTCACAATAAAAATTTATTTAATAAAATGAAGTTAAGAATGCTTCTGAAACATCAGCTTTAAAAGGAGAGTATTAATCTGAAGAGGATAAACTATCTAATAATTAGCCTAACACAACATGCAAGTAGGCTAAATGCATTGGTCAATGATCCTTGACGGAGAGCTCCTTTGACCCTTCACCTTACTAGCACGCTAAATATATAAATACTGACAAGGAAAGCCCCGTTTTCCTGCAGGAGCCTAAAGTGAAATGTGAAAAACAAAAGTTTTGGAAGTTGTCTTCAGAATCCCAAATAATCGTTCCTGTGTGGGAGTCTCATGGTTTCTCCAGTCAGTACAGAACTCATCAAACCCCGGAACTCCCTGAATAACAGGTTTCGGTGACAATAAGATAACTATAACCTTTGGGGGAAATAAATACCCGTCCAATGTGATGAGTCGTGTTCATTTCTTCCGGGACAGAAAAGTGGCTCCACACCCAGCCGCGCTTCACTCTCAAGTGAGACCCCCTTTCCTTCTCCTCCCTCTCAGTTCTCGCGTTCTCCCAGGCTGTAAGACAAGAGCACAGGAACGGAAATCCCAGCACGAAAGCCGGCCATGCCACGGTCTTCATTCTCTCCCCTCTGGATGTGAACTGGCCCTCTTCAGGGAGAGGAGATGTTGTACCAGGATAACTAAATTCCTTTGGGCGCCTGCACGTGTCTTTGATATTCCTAAAGCATAGGAAACAAAAGGAAACTGAGTTATGAAATAACATTTTCTCACACGATTGCTGAAGACAAGTTACAACTTTTGCAACTGAGATAAACGGGATAAAAGATACATTTAATTTACGTCCAATTAACTTAGTTGTTTACATTTTGCAGCTCAGCAGTAATTTCGTGAGGATAATTATAAATATCTACTCAGACACCATCTGATTTAAACCATATCATGATTTTCTCTGAAGTTTTCAAAGTTACTCAGTGTCCTAGATTGACAGCTGATACTGAAGGAGTTTTTTTTTTTAATGTTTTTAACTATTGTTTAATTGTTTAATGTGCTTACTCTCTCTTGACAATTCTTGAAAACTCAAACCAACTGATTAAAATCCTCATCAGTACAAGAGGAAAAACAATCATTATTTCTCCTCTTTAACGCAATAGAAATAAGTTTACATTCTCAGTCTAGGCTATTTTATGTAGTTAATTACATACACAAAATTACAAAATGAATCCGCTTAAAACCTGAGAGACTTAGTAATGCACTTGATTGGTGCTATAAAATATTCTGATTACATGCCCATGCAAGCGATTTACTCTTTGATAGTTTGCAAAGATGAGGAAGTAGTCCCTCTCTTCTCAACTTGTAGGGATGTTTTTAGATGAAAAACACTAAGCATTAGTGCCCAGTCAAATCTTATCACATGTAAGGTTGGTCTGAAGAGTGCCCATTAGTGTTTAAAGTATTAAAGCAAGAATCTCAGCCTACTGACTGAGGTTGAGAAGCTCTTATTATGCCAAGGAATGGAAATGGGTACTTGAAATGGGTGAGGATGGAGTCAAGTGGAGGGTCGTAAATGAATGAAGAGGGAGAAGGAAGCAAAAAATTCAACGTACAGCCTACAACATGATGAAAAGGAGAGGAGGGGTGAGGTGGGAAAGAAGGTAAGGATATTGAAAGGGGTGACATCGATCAGGATGCATCGTACTCATAAATTGCTTTATTGAATAGCAACGACTCCATTTTACAAGTACTTGAAGATAATAAAAAATAGCTTACAGAAAAAGAGAATGGACATGATTGAGAACCCCCCTTTAGCTCAGCCTCATTTCCACAACTGTCTCCATCACAGCTGGTAATCCACGCCCCACCAATTGTAACTGCGTAAGTTATCTTCTACCACATCTGTTTAGAGCTTCCTTGATACCAAATTGAGTTTATTTCTTTGTCTCACAGGATGCAAAACAAATTATTGAGACCTAAAGGAAATGTTGAATATAATATAGTCATCAACGAAGCCATTAGCAGCCAAGACGTTTTTCTACAAGATCTTGTTTTGAATATTCTGCACATGTCTTTGAACAGCTCCTGGGAGGATTTTGAGGTCTTTTGCCCTTGTTATAAAGGGTTGTTAAAAACACCTAATTAAGAAAGAACACAGAGATTCTGGGTGGCCTCTTTAGTCTCCTCAAGCAGAGGTACTTTTTGTGACTAGTTCCTTTAAGGAAGGTCAATGAAGAAATTCAACCTGAGGTGATAATTCAGGAAGATATTCAGACTTAGGTTGAATATTAGAAGTTCATAGAATGCCAAGTGTTCCATAGCTGGTGAATAATTGCCCTTGCTCATGTACGATTTTCTGAAAAAATAAAAAAAAAAAAACTATCAACTGGAGAGGGAATTAAAATGTACTTTGATAGTTTAGTGAATACTTTCATTTCTGCTAACTCGTATAATTAGTGAATTATTTGTGTGCTTCATAGTTTTAAGGCAAGGTCTTGCTGCATATTCCCTGCTGACTCAGAACTTACTTGATTGAAACTGCCAGACAATTTAGGGACACTAAAGTGCCATTTCTCTATGTTTAAGAAATGAGAAAAATATTGAATATACCAAGTATAGAAATTTTTAAAAATAAAGATTGAAACTATTTTAACCAGACTTCTGGAGAAGTATAAATGTTTATAAATAGAAATGAATTGTGTATGCTTAAAACATGATTCATTGCCTAGAAAAATCCTAATAAAATGAAATACATAGAAATTTTTAAAAATATTAAATGCAAAGTGAAGGATGGAAACATTTTATAAAGTAAACCATTAGTAAGCTTCACTAAGCTTCAGTGAGTTGTGTTATAACTTCAGACATCGTTTTATATATACATATATATGTATGTATATATGTGTATATATACATACTCAGATATCTCACAAACTTTAGACATGGCAATATTTAGAAAACCGCAAAGCCAAACATGTTCACAAATTCCAGCACATATATGACAAATAATTTCAAGGGACATCAAGGTCAAATTATTGAAAACGTATCAAAGAGGGCATCTTAAATATACTCACAGAACTGAGATGCTTTAGAGAGAATAACAAAGGAAAGACAAGATCAGATTGCTTATCCCACATAATGGAAAGTACAAGTCCTTATAAATTTACTTTCTCAAATAGCCAAAGTAAGAGAAAAATACAAAGGAGCTTAATACTGTCATATTTTATCAACTGATCAGTGTAACGTTTTTAAGAATTGAGTTGAGAAGAAGAGCTTAGTGGGTAAGCATTTGAAAAGCTAGACTAATGCAAGTCTGAAATGTAAGAATTCCGTCTGCTGTAACATACATATCAATCTCGCTGACAACCCCATGTTACTTTGTTCCAAAGGGTAGCACAGTATTCAAGAGTTGAGTAGATCAACAAAACGTGCTCATGTCATTGTGGGAGATCCCTGGCCTTGAAGAACTCAGACATGTCCATGGATTAAGAAGTCTACGTGTGGGGCTGGGAAGGTGGCTCAGTGGTAGAGCGCTTGCCTTGCATGCCTGAGACCCTGGGTTCGATTCCTCAGCACCACATAAGCAAAAAGAAAAAAGCTGGAAGTGGCACTGTGGCTCAAGTGGTAGAGCGCTAGCCTTGAGCTGAAGAGCTGAGGGACAGCACCCAGGCCCAGAGTTCAGGCCCCCCGACCCAACCGCAAAAAAAAAAAAAAAAGAGGTCTACGTGTGTGCATGTGTGTGCATGTGTGTGCATGTGTGTGTGCGTGTGTGCGTGTACATGTGAGTGGGGTAAAGGGTGTTGTTCTAATAGAAAATGCACAGTTTTCCATTTCTCTCCTAACAAGGAGTCCCTAGAAAAAGGACTTAAGAAAGACATCTGTCAAAGGCTCCCAACACATCTATCCGTCAGTGTCCTGAGACTAAGGATTTAATCAAGGCAAGAGCATGGTCAGCTAGAAGGACCTATGTCCTTCCTTTTGATTCCCTTCAGAGACAGTTTGGGTAGAACTCTGCTCCAACTCTGGTGTAGGCAGGGCAACATTTCTCAGTCCTGCCAGATAAAGTGTTCAGAACTGCTGGTAGCAGAGTCCAAGGATGGCACAAAAAGCAACATTCACAGAAGGCAGGTGAACTCTTCTATGCAAGATTTTAACACCAGCAAACTTAATAGGAAGGATTAATAAGATCCTTCAAGAAGATAGGGATAGAATATGGAAGTCTGAATTAATATAATTACCAAAGCGTATGTTAAAAAAAATAAGGGGAAATTGTGGAATCAAAAACAATAACAAAGGAAAAATTATATTAAGTGAAGTAAGCCAGGCCCAAAGAAACATAGGTCCCATGGTTTCCCTTATTTGCAATATATAGTATAGGTATGAGTCAAGCAGAAAAAGTCAGAGAATGTGATGTTAGGAAAACAAACCCTCAAATATGTATTTTAATGTTTTTGTTTCTTTCATGCATGTGTTTCTAACGCATTTATAAGATTATTTCTTTGTTGCTTTGTATGTCCCTCCCCCACAGTGTAACCCCCGCTTTTACTATATTTGATGTCAGTATAACATGTGGAGGAGACGGGGACAAACAAGTCATTTAAGTCATTTAACAGGTGGACCTGTTGCAACAATGAGAAGTACAAAATGTCATGTCAAAACCAGCTTTACAATGTCGGTGGGGGGGGGGGGAAAGGGGGGGTATGATTGGGTGGGGGGGAGGGGGGAGGGGGGAAGGGAGGTGAAGGGTAAACAAAGGAGGAGGCTGCAATGCTTGGTAAGAAATGTATGCATTATCCTGCCCATGTAATTGTAACCCCTCTGTACAGTATGTTCTCAAATAAAATTAAATTAAATTAAAAAAAAAAAAAAAAAACAATAACAAGCTGGAAGTCAGTGGCCCGCACCTGTAACCCTAGGCAATCAGGAGACTGAGATCTGAGGATCAAAGTTGGAAGCCAGCCTGGGGAAGAATGTCTGTGAGGTACTTATTTCTGATTAGACAACAAATAGCAGTAGTGGAAATGTCCTTCAATTGGTAAAACACTATCCCAGAGCAAAAAACACACAGGTCCAAGTTCAAGTCCTGATACTAGCACACAGACACACACACACACACACACACACACACACACACACACACATAATCTTGATTGTATATTGGTTTTACATGCCAATATTAGCAAATAATTCAGTGAAACAAAAGCGAATGTATATAGAGACACATACAGAGATAGGAATAGATTTGATATTGGTACTGAAAATTGAACTTGAGGGCAAGCCCTCTACAACTTAAGTTATGTGGCTAATGATGTAGCTTTTCCTTCAAAGCCAGGCGGGCCTGCGCCCCATCCTCCTTCTTGTGGATTCTTTTGTTCCAGAGCACTATGATAATAATTATAATAGATGACTAGTTTTGATATTTCTTAGAGTTTCCTTTAAAAATTCTTATTAAAAAACAAACTTATTATGTGTTTCATAGGAAACACATAGGAAATACATAGGAAATAGCATGGTGCATCAACTATGCTTTAAAATATTTCACAACAACATTAGAAATTAGACAAAAGCCTTGTGGCAGTAACTTGATAACAATTGTTGAAACTGAATCACAAATATTTGGGGCGATCATTATGTTATTTCTTTTTTAATTTTTTAGTCTGTAAAGGTGATGCAACAGAGTGGTTATAGTTACATAAGTCAGGTAATGAGTACATTTCTCTTTGAACAGTGCTACCCCTCCCTCATTTTCTCCCAGTTTTTACCTTCCCAACTCACCTCCCATCCAAGTTGCATAATTTATTTCCAGCATAGAATCTGTGTAAACATCACTGCTGAATTGTTTCACCCTTGGTCCCACCATTTCAGTGCTTTCCCCTTCCCTCCCCCAATCAGATGTACTTATATGTAAGACAAGGTACAGAGATCAAAAACAGGGACACAAGAAATAAACCAAATAAAATAATAACCACACTCTACAATAAAAATAAACCTCTCGTGTTCATTTCTTGGAGTGCATTTTGATAAGCATCCTTTTATATGATCATATGCACGCAGCTATTAAGCCCCTGTGATCCTCTCCTAAGAATATCCTCCTGTGGTCTCACTGTGTGAATGTTTAGTGTCTTGTTTAAATAATCATGGCCAAGTGTAGATATTTTTTGTTTTTCACTATCCATTGGGTTTCTTATTTGCATTTAAAATACACATTGGCTTGGGTGAAGTTCTAATGTTGCATTTGGGACCTTATGCTAGCTAGGCAGGTGCTCTACCTCTTTTCTCTATTCCCAGGCTTTAGTTTGAGATAGGGTTTTGCTTTGAAGCTCAGATCTGACTGGAGAGTGATCCGTCTATTTATGCTTATTGGAAAACAGACTGGTAGCACCATGTCTAGTTGTTTCTAATGTTTCAAAAACATCTTTATCTGTGTGCTAGTCTTAAACCATATCCATCCTGTTCTGAGCCTCACGCATAACAGGGATCATCCGCTACCTCCCACTCTTGATGGAGATAGTGTCTCTCAAATAGTTTGCCTAGGCTGTCTTGGGATTTTCACTCCTTGTTCAGGAAGGACTACATAATGAGGCTGTAGTTTTATGTTTTGATTTTAAAAAAATCATGAAAATAACAATTCTATGTTTAAATCAGCAAAGTAGGAAAAAATAGCAAATAATTCCAGTCATTGATAAAAATGAGGAGAAAGCAAAATGGTATACGATACTCATAAAATAGAAATTTTGGAGAAATATTCTTTAAGAATACTTTAGGTAAAAAAAAGAATACTTTGGGTAAACAGCATATTTAAAATCCATTACTCTGTAAAACAGCAGTAGCATCTTACCTAAATAAATGCTTAGAATTCTAGACTAGAAAACAAATATAAATTGGATAAACTTAAAAAAATATTATAGAGAAAGATTATAATGCCATATGATAACCTTTTCACATATTGTTTCAAAATTGTCAAGCAAGGCCTATGATATTATTGAGAATGAAGATTTTTTGGTAGAACAATAAGTGTTGGGATAAAAAACTGAATAGAACTTTTTTACAGTTAGTACCATGACAGTAGAAAGTGAAATTGGTTTAAAAGTCAAAGGTCAAAAATTTTCATCAAAATTTCCTCACTCTAAAATATGGCAAGCAGTGATAATGATACAATCTACATTTGAAATAGTTAATAATTTAAAATAAAAAGTTAAATATTGTTGTATAATTCTAAGCTGTATCAAAACAGATATGAATGTCCTTCTGTTTTAAACTTCAAGTATACATGACATCTACAAGAAATGTGAATGAAGGCTGGTATTATTTATATCCACCATGGACTATGACAGCTTTGTTTACTGTTTTATATTTTTAAGATATAATTGTATTGTGGCCAGGTGGTTTAGGGGAAAGAAAAACTTTTAATACTGATCCAGTTCTGATTGAGGGCTGGTGGCAGCTGTCAGCAATGCTGGCTGAGGCCCACTCCAGGACAGTCCAGGTAACTCAGGAAAAATGCTGACAGCTAATTCTGTGTGAAATGGTCCCTCTGTCACCTCCAGTGGCATATCTGCCCTGCATTTGCTATCTTGAGTATATTTTCCCAATCAAGTGGAATTTAGTCATTACCTGAAGAATATTTTGATATGGGCATCAAACATGTTAATTCTCTGTCTCAGTATGGTTAGTCTCATTGCAGTGTGACTATTATGTATGCATACTAGGGTTTCATGATTAAGTTGTAGCATGTTGTACACTCCAAAGTACATAATGAATAAAAACAAAAAAAATTAGTAAAATAGTGACTAACATAATAAATATGTTAATATGTTTATATCAAAAACAACATCAATCATTCTATGTCCAAACAAATCATATGAATTGAGTAGTAAGGAGAATTTTTCATCTTAAGCACCACACCATATTATATAATATTACATTCAGCAACTTGGAATGACTTATCTAATGCCAAGTATTTAGTTAGGAGTAAAAATTGGACTAAAGTTCACTTCCTTGCTTTACTGAATGAAAAAAGAAATGCGTAGATTTCAACCATTGTGAACCTGTCCCTAATGTTCCATCCATTTTATTTACACTGTATAAAGATCTAGAAGGAGCTTTATTCATTTAACTCATGAGTCATTCTTGAAAGTAGATATAGTAAAATGTTTTGCATGGTCTTCTTTTCAGACGACTTTCCCCCTGGTTCTGAAGACTTGAATCAAGTGAAAAGGAAGAATCAGTCAGAATGACGTATTTGGTGGCTGTATGGGGGAAGATAAAAGGTGAGGCTGAGAAAAGCGGATGGGATAAATATAGAAGCATAATCCTATTTGTGATCTCTTAGAAATCAGGAGACACGTGGCTGCCTCGCGGGTGACAGCGCACAGGCACAGCGGTGACTTTCTCAGACACACGGGAGTAAATCCCAATAGAAATGTGTGTGCAAAGAGCTTGCACATGTCAGTGCGAAAGACACAATATTCTGGGCTAGAGACTGTGATAGAACTTATCTCCAGAGCATTCATTTCAAAGTCCAAGGAAATGAATGACCCTTCTGTCCTATGTTTGACCTCTCCTGCACAGTACTTTACGTTTTGACTGTCACAGAAGAGCCCTGTGCCACAGCTGCGGTAACACAGGACCAAATGCCATTCTTAGAGCTGTAATCTCTTGGACATCACACAGACTTCCGGTTGACTATTTCTGTCTTTCCATCAGATATGCAGGACAAGTGGCTTCATTGCTAGGCTGGATGTCTGAGCTGCATTCTTGAGCAGTGGGGAAAAAATGTGGACTAAAAAGAACTGTGTTTGGAGTGTGGAAAGTTACCAACAGAGAGCATGAGTGTGAAAAATATGTAGAATAATATGACTGATTTCAGTTTAGGAACTATAAACATCTTAACTCCTTAATTCCTCTAATCCCACCTTTCCATAATCTCGCAAAAAATTTTTTTTCCTCAGTCCTCTGAATCTATTTATTTGGAAAAGATAGAAAAACAATTATCTCACAGTTGAAAAGTACTCAAGAAAATCAAACACTTGAAATTTATGCTAACATCTTATCATTCAGCCGCTAAATGTAGTGATGTAAAATCATCTTGTTAGATGAAGGGCTGGAATTAAGCATTCAAAATTATTCTCCTATTTTAAGAAAAAAAATATTGCAAGCAAGTGTGGACAAGTTTGAAGGACAATGTAAAAAAAAGAATAAGTTAGACACCATCTTGAATAGGAAAGAATATAATAGATGAAATTCCCTGGCGTGATTATTTGTATATCTATATCTATATAATTAATAAATACATGCACATAATTTATATGCCTTTCTAGGGTTGTTCTCCAACTGTCAGGAGTTGAAAATATTCTTCCAAAAGCAGCTCAGTAGAGCTGAGATTACCACAGTGGTGTAAAGATGACCAAACAATGAAATTCCTTCTTCACCTTCTCAATTGTCTGACCTTGGGTAAAAAGCTCCATGTCTGACACCTCAACTCATATCATGTGAAATTTGGGAATATTACTGTACATCCAGAAATCTATCAGATGATTTGATGCACTCAGATTTTGCCTGACACAATTTATATATATAAATATTATGTTCATTGTAATCAATCTCATAGACAATTAGTGATAGGTAAGTGTAGAAGCCCCAGAATTTCTGTTGTCAAAATATGAAATATACAGCCAACTCTGAAAACAACACACACATGTACAAAATCTTCAAAAACGCCTTTGGCAGATTTAGTTTAATACATGGGCAAGCTATTTTTTTCCCTCGACATGAATAAGTGACGATTACCTAAACTGTCATCATGTTTGGACTAGGACAATTCAACCCAAAACAATCCTGGGGTGACTCAGGATCATCTCAGTTTCAAAGGAGACTAATCATGAATTTGGGAATGAAAAAATATTATATTCAATACACTTCCACAATTCTAAACTGAATCTAATTAGAAATTATCTTTCAATAACCTCTTCTTGGTTGCATAATGATAATTATTCCATCTGTGAAAACTTATAAAATATATAATGAATTTTTGAAGGCTGTTGTAAAGCTGAAATACTGATTGCCACTAAGCCTGAATTCTTTTGGAGCAAAGCAGATGGCAATTAATGTAATGGCCCCATCTTTTGAAAATCATTGAGAAGGTTTGGCCAAAATGATGCATGCAAAAATCTGTATTTTGTAATGTCTAAGAAATTTCCAAGCTTTAATAAACCTTAAAAACAATCTCTTAAAATATGTTTCTAAAATACTTCTTGATTAAGAGGAAAAGTTTCACTCCACCAAATTATTAAAATAGGATTTGAATGTTTGAGGGAAACAATCACTCCAAAACCTCATGGGAAGCAGGCCGCTGTGGGGCAGATAGATGGTGATATTTACTTAGGGATGTAGTTACAGACTCTTACCCTTTTCTCTTGAGTGATTTTCTATAAAGAAAAGGATGGAAAAGACAACAGAGAGATTCAAATTGCAGCCCCCTGCCCTTAATCTCAGAAACAACATAGAATACCCTTACAGCAATTCCTCAAAGATCTATTTAGTATTGCCACAATACTTACTTCAAAAAGCTTCTCCATATTTGTGTAAAATGATATAAATGCTTATCTGTGTACTTAATTACAGTAACAAAGAGAACATAAAATGTGTTAGGAAATGGAAAAAAGTAAAAACAAACTGTTCAAATGTTCTGTGTAAATATGTTAAGGCACCAATATTACTTCTTGTCTTCTAATTCATTTCAACATTCTGTTTAATATTTAATTTGTTACATCATTTTTGTTTCAATTGTAGTTGCACTGCAATTTAATTTTCATTGAAATGATGTTGATCTTTTCACCAGTGCTTTATAGAAGGATCTTCAACTCCAAGACATTAAATCTACTGTCCTATGTTTTCATAGACCATACTGAATCCAAGGCTATCTATCTATTGTATTGAATTAGTGGAATACACAGATGAATTCTTATCTTCAGAAAGGTGTAATATAAATAAGTCAAGTGAAAATAGAAAAGAGACGATTGGATGTCAAAAGAGCTTGCTTAGGTAAGGAATATGGAACTTTAAACTCAAAGTGAAGAGATGTTAAGAAACATTCAAGCTGAGCATGTTGGCTCACACCAATGCCCCGAGCTATGTCTGAGGATGAAGTTGGGAGACTGAGGCTCAAGGCCAGCCCAGGCAATGCTAGCAGGGGTCTCCATCCATGAGGCAAATTAAAAGCCAGGACCTGAGTGCATCCCCAGTGAGAAAGCATAAGAAAACAAAAGAAAATTTACATGTGTTTAGAGAAGGTGCTTAGTACACTTTTATTCCACATGAAAGGAAACTTGTAGAGATTTTCCTACTTTTCCAGAAATCTCATGTCTCTAAAGAAAAGCTTAGCTCAAATTCACAAATTTTCACTTAACTCTAATAAGAATGGAGATGTTCTGTGGTAGAAATCTTGTATTTTTATAGATTGCTTTCTTGCAATTGGACAGTGTTATGTGACTAGTTGTTTGTTTGTCTTTTAATAAGTTCTTTATTATGAAAATACCGTACAGAAGGTTACAATTACATGAGCAAGGTAATGAGGCACTGTTGCCTCCTCCTTTGCTTTTCCCCTACCATCACTTCCTTCCCATCTCCACGACCCCCCCTCAAAGTTGTAAAGTTCATTTTTCGACATAGCATCTCATACATCTCATTGTTGAAATTGGTCCACCTGTATCCCTATTTAAACAATTCTGTAAGGAAGAATGAGTAAAAGTGCTATCTGCTCCATCAGAATCAAGAGGTACAAAGAGTTATGATGCTTTAGTCTTATTTTTCTTGATTTGGACAACCACATGAGGAAAACACACCTTGTCTGAGCACTTAGTGATGGGGAAACCTAGCACTGTCTCCCGGGAACCTTTTGTGCTGCTGCTTCTGAGGGAGCTAAGTGGTTACTCTAATATAGCTTATGTCTTGTAAGGGAGGTGGCTGCATCCACTTAGCGTATCTAACATGCAAACAGAGAAGATAGCTGCCTTCCCTAACACAGGAAATTTGTTATATCACCTTGATTCCAAATGGAAATATGTACGAAAAATAGAAAATTTTTTTCTGATTCTTTTAATATACGAAACAGTAAAATATGCCTTTAGGAATTTGGTATAGTTAAAAAATAGTAATTAAAGAAAGAAAACATTCATGAATATATTTAATTTGAGGTACAAAAATGAATAACAAAAGAAGCACAATAAACCTCTAAGTCTCAAATGTCTTCAAGTTGAAGTTGATACCCAGTACAATAAACATAGCTCCTTCAATGATTAAGCACTAAGTAAAATCTGGATGGATTCTAAATAGATTGCTGAATGAATGTCTCTTTTTCCTCAAAATTTTAAATTGTGTGAACTACAAACTCATTTAAATATGAGCAGAGAAAGTTTTATATGCTCTGTATAAAGGAATTACATTTTATGTAAAATAACTCCTCATTATTTTCTTTAAAATCATTATGTCATATAACAAAATGCCGCATTATCCCTTTTGCGGATGATAGATAGATCCTATCCTCAAAATACCT